GGATGCGCCCACGTTGCCGGAAGTCAGAACAGAAGTTTGAAGGACCACAGAGGGGAAACAGCTTGGAGTCTGATAACCACGTGCATTCACCTGATATACATCTAGTCTGAGCCAGCTTTCATTAAGTGGCTCATGACCATGTGAGTGTAACCATTTATAAATTAAGTTACACTGACGTTATTACCCTATGCTGCGGTTTTTCTTTGTTTTATAATTACAGGATTGGTTTAAGTATTGATACACCAAAGTGTGCAATAAGGGTAATGTGCAATTTTAACTAAGAGTGCTCTCACCATCTGTAGGATGTGCTTGAACAATAAATCTGATCCATGGAGGCCCCACCTCCAACTTGGTCCTTAAAGTATCTACTGTTAATGTTTTGGTGTCAGATACCACATGACATGTTCAGAGGTCTTGCAGAGTCCATGCCTAGATGTATCAGAGCTGTTTTGGCAGCACAAGGGGGTCCTACACGATATTAGGTAGGTGCTTTTAACATAGTAGCTGATCAGTGTATATATAATTTATTTATATTACATTTTATTCCAAAGCGGCTAGAATGCAAAAGATTAGTCCATGCTATACCTGCTACATTAAAATGAAACACACACCTGCACACACAAGAACACGTTTACAGACTACACATGCACAGATACCCATTCATACTTATGGTTATTTTCATCACAATGCAGCAACAGGAAATATATTTTGCTGGCTGTCTCAGATTGATGGGAGTAATTCCTGGGCAGCAGCCATGATTTGCAGCTACTGAAATTAATTATGTCCCTCTCCTCTTATTCTGATATTCTGGGAGAATTCTATGTGTGACAGGAAGGGTTATTCATTGAAGTGTGACTTTTATTTTGGTGTGGCAATTCACACTTCAGGGCCTCTCATGCACATTAGTCCTTCCCTGTAATGATGGCAGTGAGTCATAGTTGCTGCCTTGGAATGAGACTACAATAAATATTATGTATGTCACTGTGCTGCTCTAACACTGGAAAACTGCAGTACAGTTATTCTTTAAATGGACACTATAGTCACCAAAACAACTTTAGCTTAATTTAGCGGTTTTGGTGTATAGATCATGCCCCTGCTCAATTCTCTTTCATTTAGGGATTAAATTACTTATGCAGCCCTAGCCACACCTCTCTGCATGTGACATACACAGCCTTCCTAAACACTTCCTGTAAAGAGTCATCTAAGGTTTAAACTTCCTTTATTGCAAGTTCTGTTTAATGTGTGTTTTCTTATCTTCTGCTCTGTTAATAGCTTACTAAATCCTGCAGGAGTTTACTGTGTGTAATTAAAGTTCAATTTACAGAGCAGGAGATAAAAACTTTTAGAGTAAGTTAAATCAGATTGAAATTGAAACCATTTCGTTTTCATTCATGCTGTGTCAGTCAAAGCCAGGGGAGATGTGGCTAGGGCTGCATAAACACAAATAAAAATGATTTAACTCCTAAATGGCAAAGAATTGAGCAGTGAGACTACAGGGTCATGATCTATACACCAAACCTGCTTTGTTAAAGGACCACTTTAGTGCCAGGAAAGCATACTCGTTTTCCTGGCACTATAGTGCCCTGAGGGTGCCCCCACCCTCAGGGACCCCCTCCCGCCTGGCTCTGGAAAGGGGAAAAGGGGTAAAACTTACCTTTTTCCAGCGCTTGGCGGGGAGCTCTCTGCCTCCGATCCTCCTCTGTTCCTCCCCGTCGGCTGAATGCGCATGCGCGGCAAGAGCTGTGCGCGCATTCGGCCGGTTGCATAGGAAAGCATTATCAATGCTTTCCTATGGACGCTTGTGTGCTCTCACTGTGAAAATCACAGTGAGAAGCACGCAAGCGCCTCTAGCGGCTGTCAATGAGACAGCCACTAGAGGCTTTGGGGGAAGGCTTAACCCATTTATAAACATAGCAGTTTCTCTGAAACTGCTATGTTTATAAAAGAATGGGTTAACCCTAGCTGTACCTGGCACCCAGACCACTTCATTAAGCTGAAGTGGTCTGGGTGCCTAGAGTGGTCCTTTAAGCTAATATTGTTTTGGTGACTATTGTGTCTCTTTAAACACCAAATTTTAGCAAATTAAATCAAAATATCAGAATTAATCTGGAAAAATTCTCATTTTTCTACAGTCACAATTCAGCGATATTAGCTTCCAATTTGCCATTAATATATGCTTAAATTGGTGTTTAGTAAATAACCCTTACAGTGTATCTAATGTCAAACTGTAATATTTAATACACGATTTACCATGAAATATATAGATACACACACCTTATTCTATTGACCTGCACCATTTAATTATGATCATTTCACAAACTAAAAGCATGTATCAATGACCTAGCTCGATGGGCGGGCCTGTGCATTACATGGTTTGGGAGGTTAAACGCAATTAAAATGAATCTCCTCCCCCGCCTCCTATATCTGTTTCAAACCATCCCGATCAACCTCCCGGCATCCTTTTTCCACGAAATTGACAAGACAATTTCTAGCTTCGTTTGGCAAGCTAAAGCACCAAGGCTGAGCAAAGTACACCTTCGCAGGCCAAAAGCACAAGGCGGGGTGGGGTTCCCATCCATACGGGATTACCATAGAGCTACACACCTGCACCGTATTGTCGACTGGCATACCCCTAGAGATGGGAAGTCATGGATAACCATGGAGACTGCACAAATGGAGGGATCGCTCCCGTTAGTGGTATGGCTAGACAACCACCACGGAGGACAACGTGCCAGGAACCACCCGCTCATCGGAGCAACGTTGAAGGTTTGGTACTCTGTGCGGACTAAGCTCTCACTAACCACCACACCGGGACCAATGACGCTGATAACACACAACCCCAATTTGGCTGGGGGCCTCAAGCCCCAAGACATCAGTGCATTTACAGAAGAAAAATGGTCATATATACAACAATGGTGCTCAGCGGACTCGCTGAAACCACTGCCGGAACTCATACGAGAAGGAGCCCCACGAGGCATAGACAGATTCAGATACTTCCAGATTAAGTCATATTATCAATCGCATGCTGGACGCCGCCTGTTCCACAGGACTATGACTGAGTTTAAGAAAACATGCACAGCCAGGAGACCGCTACACCGAGGAGTATCTACCATGTACGCTCTGCTACAAACCTCTACCCAACATACACCCCTGAAACACCTGGCGAGATGGGAGGAGGCCACGGGTACTGTACTCACCGACCCCCAATGGGACAAGATCCACATACTGACACATCAGGGCACGTTGAGTTCTAAACACCAAGAACTAAACTACAAACTGCTAACGGGGTGGTATAGAACGCCAGAGCGCCTACATCGAATGCTACCGGAAATTCCGGACTTATGCTGGAGATGTGAGTCAGAGGTTGGCTCGGACCTCCATATTTGGTGGTCCTGCAGACACATCGCCCCATACTGGAAACAAATGCAATCACACGCAGATAAAAAACATTGTGGACTCGGACCTCCCTTTCCAGCCAATGCAAATGCTCCTCCATCACACTGACACGCCTCTCTCGAGGTATAAAAAATCACTCACGAAACAACTCCTCAATGTAGCTAAATTACTTATCCCGATCCGCTGGCGGACCACGCAAATCCCCACACTGCAACAATGGATGGAGAAAGTAGAGGAGATCCATGGCATGGAACAGCTTACAGCCTCATTGCGGGGCACAACGGAACGCTATCTACAGACCTGGACTCCCTGGCTTGAATTTATCTCGGGCAGAACGGCGTAGACACCAGGAATATGGAGCCTCTGCATGACCCCCACAGGATCCACAAGTAAATACACGTAGTGACGTGGCAGCGATTCCCAGAGGAGCGGCGGACACACTCTTGGCAGAGGAGACTCTGAGGGGGACGGGATGTGCCGACGCAGCGAGTACGATGCCGAGGAGGTCTCTCTTCACCCCCCCCACCCTTTAACCCTCTCCCCCTTTCCCAACCCATGCTCTATCTCACATCCGGGCCACTCTGGGAACGGACACAAGCACACGTTCGCTCCCCTCCATCTTTCCCCCGTCCCCCACACACACAAATACACACCTATCTAGACACAAACCACCTGGGAAGCAACTCCCGACAGATCATTAGACGACGAATCAGGGAGTGAGCGAGACGGGGGTAAAATCCTAGTCAGCCAAGCAGAGGCAACAGAGCTGCGACAAAGAGGCATAATGGATCACAGGACACTGTGACCCAGCTAACCAAACGCTGACGCACCAGACCTGGGAAGGGCGGTCACCTAACGCTCCTCAAAGTCCCAGACTAAGTGAGTGAAAAACTCTGCTGCTCTGGATCCCCATAAAACACGACGTAGAACGCGCACAAACAGAGATGGGGGACTTCTCACGAGGACCCCAACCTTAGGGTAACCACTGGCTACTGCCCTAACAGATTCGAACACATAGGTAGGGACCTACAGACCTCTACCCGCCTCACGGCGTGTAGTTAGACAAGATGCACGGACAAGCAGCAATAAGCTGAATAACATGTGGGACAGGGGGGATAGGTGGAGGAAGTGTAAAAAGAAAAGGGAGGTCAGCCCACACTAGCTTTCAGCATTAAGGTGCAAACATGGTGAGACAAACGAGGGTGGCCGCGGAGACGACCCAGGTTCACCTGTCCTTCCAAGGTACAGATATTTCTACACGAATGCATAATAGAAAGGACTTGTTCGCATGTTTTACTGTTAAATCGCATTACTTGTCTAGTGCAGACTGTTATGTTTATCGAGACAACCTCGAATACTTTAACTTCCTGTTTAATCTGCTAACAGTACTGTTGTCAATGTTACTTTTCAAACTGGAAATCAAAACCAAGATTGACAAAAAATAAAAAATAAAAGCATGTATCATGTGTCTTCACACACAATATGAATAGGACTTTTGGATGGGTAGTGTTATAAAATAATAAACCTGGTACATTTGTTCCTATGTTACTGAATTACGTTACAGTAACATTAATTGAATGATGCAATGCTCACATTTACAGATCTTTTAGATTTACTTTATAGACAATATTAAACTGTTTAGAAACTGAACAAAACAGCAGAGGTTTTATGGCTTGGAAACTGTGAACTACCGTAAGGCAATTTTATTTCAGAAGAACAAACAAACAGGTCCAAAACAAACAAAAAACATCAGAGAACAGAACAGGCATTACATTAATAATATTAAGTGAGAGTGGTTACATACACTTACTTTCACTCAAGGATAGGCACCTCCTAGCACGACGACTGCTGTGGACTACAACTCCCAGCATGCAGCGTGTCAAAAGTTGCCTATTAATGCAGGTTTCTTACCATAAATAAAACATACAAACAAATAGAAGATTTCATGGGTAGAAAATATGGCAGAAAGATTTGAGAAAAAAAAAATATATATATCAAACATCAAAGCCTTCACTATTTAAATTAAAAATAAAAATGTGTACAAAAAAGTTCAAATCGAGTTCTCACTGGGAGCTGTAGGGTGCAACAAGCACCTTTAGCAGCAGAAAAAGTTACTTTAGGCACATTGTTTTATATTTTGTGTTTTTTTTTCTTTTTAAATACACTTATGAAACAAAGCCTAATTTAAGAAAAGAGTGTGATGTTGATTGGCACCATTTCATGGTATTGGTTCGCAATATGTTTTTAGAAAGGAAATAAAATGTAAGAAAATACTCCAGTCAGTGACACAACACGTTTTAAACAGAGTTTTGGTGAACGTCGATCAGTCTTTAGATAGTACTGCATAAATCAGGTATGTGTTCTGGATAACCTGCTCTTATAGAACTACAAACTCTCTTTTTCTATTCGTTCTATAAAGGCAGTCTGTTTCTGGCTGAGGTCTATACAAGTTGTAATTCAATGAAAGCTGGTAATATCAGACTATCCCTGGTGTGAATCATAGGTTTTCAGGCCTTTGCTCAAAGAAAGGCTTTTCGTAAACTCATCACATAAACATATCTGGGCTCATTGTCACAAGCTTTCTTTTTGGAATACCTTGTACTGATTGCCGACCTCTGCTTGTACCAGTGGACTCACAAAGCCTGTAAACGAGCTTAAAAAGAATCTGTGTACAATAAAGGCTGACCTCACGTCAAGGGTTAGTACATTTACTAATCACATTGAGATGGCAAAAACGTGCCTCGTTCCTCAGGGTCTGTTAAGTTGTTAGTATCATGTTAACCAATGTACCATTTCTTATCATGCTCAGTGTTGGCTACAGCAAGTCGTTTTCAACATGAATTTATAGAATACTCTACTGGTAAACAAACTGGAAAGAAATTACAGTACATTACAATGGGGCAGGGCTTGGCAACCTGGCAAGTCCAGCATTTTGTTGGACAATATTTCCCATCATCCTCAGAGACAGGCCAAGTGTTGTTTAGCAATATAACAAGAGCCGGACGGGGGGCAGGTGTAGCAGCTTGGCCAAACCCTTCCTCAGGGAGAACAAAAATACGTATGACATTTTTGCAGATTGGTCGCTTGACTACAGAAAAGGCAGCAACAAGTATGTTAAAAACGTCCAACTCTTTCCTAAAAAATAAATATCAAGTAATGTACCAGCCAGCGCCTCGCCCTGCAAGAAAGAAAAAAAAAAAAAAAGCAGGGGTTCCAGGCACTGCATTTCATCAACTGTGGGTAAAGTGCTTTCTTTGTACAGGATGCAAGGGCAAAACACAAAGCAGTCCTTTATTTTCGGAACGGCGTCAGTCGGCTTATGTTCTGCCAGAAGTTGGATGGCTTGCGTTTGGGCTCAGCAAGCATGAAGACTTGCTGCTGTGGGAGGTTGGCAGGCAACGTGGGGTGTTTCTGTTTCATCCAGAAATCATAGTAGGTCCTATTAACAGCTACGAGAGAAAACAAGAGATTTTTTTTTAGGGAAAACTATTCCATAAGCTAACATTCCCCCTTTCCCCTCCCCTTCCTTCTGTTATCTTAGAAAGAAAGAGAATCCAAATGCAAACTCCGTGGTTGTCTGTTACGCATGCTAATGTCATGATGAACAACAGTAGACCGTATTATCGTATTATTAAGATTCTGTTGCACAAAATGTGTGCGGGAGGGAATGTATTCCAAATGAGAATGAGGACAGATATTTGGAATGTATTCTTAAAGGGATGCAGCTAACTCCAATGGTTACATTATGTAATAAAACTAAAATATGCAAAAAACGAAACTGTTGCCGAAGATAGTAGCAGCCATACCAAATATGGCTGAACTAGTTAAATGATGTTGCTATTGGCAGCTGAGTGTAATAAATACCTGTATTTTGTTTTTGTTTTCTTACACACTTACCTTTTGGCTTTCCTGCTGGATGAGGCTTGTTGGCGTTGACCATTGCTTGTTTCTTTTGAATTTCACTAATGCTAAAACCTAAAAAAAGATAAAAAATAACAATTATTTTTAAAATGTGGTCAACTAGAATACGCAGTGAGTTGGAAAATATTACAAGAGTGACCGGTGCAAGATTTGACACAGAAGTTTTATAAAATAAATCTATCCATGCAGGTTGGACGTGTTGTTTAAGGCACTCTATCATCTATAAAACAAGAATGGCAAGGGCCGATTCAGGTAGATATAGTTGGACTACCAGGAATTTGGCAATTTGAGATTCTGGAGATCCCAGCGTGTTATTTCTTCACAGGGACAAATAGCAGATCCAGGTCAGGTTACTGATGATGTTCTAAAATGTGTTCATGGTGTAAAATGGTATATTTAATCTTCTACGCTAGTTCTTGAATATTAATGTCCTATGCTGCCACCCAGTGATCATAACAGGTACAATGTCAGTTCCGTAAACAGTAGTTAAACTAAGGCAGGTTATTAGTTAGTGTGCAAGTGAATATGGGCCATTAATACTTTACAATAATAGGTTTCATAACCTCCATACCTGATAATGATTTCTCTCCACAACCCAACGAAAACACTTCTATTGTATTTGTTATTGTTTTTTTTTTTTAATGGTTTCATTTTTATATTTATGTGGATTTTGGAGTTGATGTTCTATACATTAGAGGGTTTGGTACTGTCAAAGATTTCCCCTCTAACTAAGAGTCAAGACCCTGCGATTTTAAAGCTACTCTCTAGTCAGGGCCGGTGCAAAGATTTTTTGGTACATAGGCGAAGATGTATCTTTCCACCCCCCCCCCCAAAATAACATCTTCACCTATGTGCCTCTTAACCAGCCCCTCTCCCCGTCCATTAGTGGTCCCCTCCCTTCCCTGTCCCTTAGTGTTCTTCTAAGCTCTCCCCTCTTTTTCCTGTCCCTTGGTGTTTCTCTCCCCTCCCCTCCATGTCCCTTGGTGCACACCCCACCCCTTTAGTGGTCGCACTCCCCTTCCTGGCGTGCCTCCTACCTCTCTTGTAGCGTTGCCGAGTGGAGTGCCGAGTGGAGTGCCGAGGGAGTGCTCTCTCAGTGAGCACCTCCGGTCAGTCTGGCCGGGTACAGGAAACAGAAGCTCCTGTACTGCGCTCCGCCACACTACACTCAGTGGTGTATACATACTGAGAGTCACACACACTCAATGACAAACATACAGACTCACTGATCTGACACACACTCATTCATTGACAGACACACTGATACTCACACACAGACTCAATGCCAAAGATACTCACTGATTTGACAGACACTCACAAACACACACTGACAGACACACATACACTGCCACACTCATACACTCACATGCAGTACTCATACAAGCACTCACAGACACACACATACACACTCATACAATCACTCACAGACACACACATACACTCACAGACACACTCACTCACAGACACACATACTCATGCACACAGTCACTCACAGGCACACAGTCACTCAGGCACACATACACTCACACACAGACACACACACAGTCACACACAGACAGACACGCATACACACACTCACTAATTATTTTAATAAATAAACATTTTCCACCCAGCCTCCCTACCTGGAGAGCTGGTGTGGATGATGAATCATTCCCTGGGGTCCAGTGGGGCTGCTGGGAGGCGTGCCGCAGTGCTGTGATCAGACGCGGCGAGGGAGCTCTAACCTCTCTGCTCTGCTCCCTCGCGCGCTGCCTTCTGATACCGCGGGAGCCGGGTTGATGACGTCATATTCCGGCTCCCGCGGCATCAGCAGACAGCGCGCGAGGGAGCAGAGCAGAGAGGTTAGAGCTTCCTCGCCGCGTCTGATCACAGCACTGCCGCACGCCGCACGCCGCACCGGGGGTCGAGATGGTGGCCTGGCAGGAGGGAGAGCTTCCCTCCTGCCGGTCACTGAAATATTGCGCCCCCGAAACCGGTGCACCCTAAGGCGGCCGCCTGTGCCGCCTTATGGACGCGCCGGCCCTGTCTCTAGTATAGCTCCACGTTACGTGTTTGACAATGTTGCAGTATAAGTCATTTTCCTCTGTGTTTCTGGGTCTGTGGTTCTTGAGGAAAATTCCAACAACTAAAAATGTAGAATATTTGTGAACACTTAGCATTATTTTCTTGCATATTTATAAAGTTGTGTGAGGGGCAAATAAGGCCGTATAGGAAACATAGCAAGAAGAGCATAGTAAAGGGGGAAATAAGTCGGTTGAGGTGTGCCGGAACCGAGGTCGCGGCAGGCCTGTAATAAAAGAGGGCCCACCCATGATATGTAATAAAAATATAGATAGAGGGAGTGGAGGGTGGGGACAAGCGAATAGCTATAATCACGTACGGGACGGAGGAAGGTGAGTAGGGGGGTTTAAGTAGTGTAACAAGCCCCTCCCACAACTGCAGGCCAAGCCTTTTCATTTGTGTGAGGGGCAAATAAGGCCGTATAGGAAGCATAGCAAGAGGAGCATAGTAAAGGGGGAAATAAGTCAGTTGAGGTGTGCCGGAACAGAGGTCGCGGCAGGCCTGTAATAAAAGAGGGCAAAAAGTTGATACATCCCAGAAACGTAGAACAATCAACAACTGATAAGAAAACCTTAATTGCCTAGCTATGGCGGTACGTGGTACATATGGGGGAATATGCTGAGAGCTTCCATTGACCTAGAGATTAAATATATACGAACCAAAGTGAACTAGATTGAAGCCATAGATGCCACCCTATCCTAGAGGGGTGACCAGAATAGTAGAACTGATTAAAACTGGCCCCAAGATCAATGCACCAAAGAAAGTCGGAGTGTAAGGACTGGCCCCAAGTAGTGAGATCTGTGATAGTTAGGCTTGATTAGAAAAAGAGTAAATAGGTGCCCATTTCCTTGTGGTTGATCCAAAAGAAGAAGAAAAAACCCAGTTTGAAGCACTGCCAATTTTGCAACAAGCTAGGGAAAAATTCCTTCTTGACCTCAGAACGGCAGTCAGATTTATCCTTGGATCAAGCAGTTATTACCCTACATTGAAGGCTGTTGTCTGGTTCGTAAGGACAGGCGTCTAATAGGTCTGATAGTGATTGAACTAATTGGATGTGGATGGGATATCTGCAAGATTTGAAAATCCTGGGAGCCGGAAATGTCTTGAGTATGGTACTAAACTGGTATGAGGACATGAAACTGCGTATGAAACATAAACCTGTAACAGCATGTGAAGTTGTAATAGGTAGAGTTGATGCAAGTTAGAGGTGGCAAAAAGAAGCGAAAACCAAATGCAGACAACCTAGCAAAAAGACAGTAATAGAATACGCGAAAGGAGCAGCAAAGGAGGAGGCCCTAATACATGTACCGTGAGTGTCAACGAGAAAGATGACGACCATGAGCTAACAAGGCTGGTAGTCCGCGAGCAGAGGATGGCAGTGGCTACGGGAGAGGCCGAAGGCAGAGCCAAGAGGAATGCGTAGAGGAGGCACAGGAGAGATCGTATGAAAAAGGTGCAGGAAGTCTGGCTCGGATCCAGCCAGAGCGGCAGACGTCAATAACCCAAACTGCCAATCTGAAACCGCCCTATTGACAACAGAAGCGCAGGATGGAAAAGCAAACTCGGGGGCCCCTCGGGCAACAGCGTTACCCGTGGAGGCAGACAGATTCTGAGAATTCAGCTGACCGAAAGGCTGCTAGGGAGGGAATAAGTCGACTCACGAGAAACACAGCGAAGTGAGGAAGAGACCAGGACACGAGAGGGAGTAGCCGAAACTCCACAGCGCGATGAGTACCAGACCTAGCAAGAGAGCCAGGCTGAAAAAAAAAAAAAATAGCACGCCAGTGCCAGGCAATGGAGACCTGCTAAGAGAGAGATGAAGAAACAGCGCATACGCTACCCAATGTGTGTGTGCGTGAGTGTGAGCTGGCATACTAGCTAATGCCAAAAAGGCAAAACAATTAAAACTAGGTTTGGTGACAGGTGAGGCCCTGCTAAATGCCAAGCGGCGTGAGAGGCTCTAACTATGCGTTGGCGCAAGGGGACAATGTGGCCACTGAACGGAGTGGCGGGGTGTTGGCCTCTCGGTGACAGGTAAACATAAGATAGAATGGGAGTGACAGGTGAGGCCCTCTCTATGCTACAATGCGAGTTGACTAACTATGATTTGGCCCGAGGGACGTAGTACCTCCGAGGATGAGGATGGGTGTAGGCCTTGCAGGACCACTAACCTAAGACGAAGAAGCCTGGAGGAATTACAACTAGTGGACACCTATGTCCCTGACAGCCAGCCACAGCTAACTAAGAGGAGAGGGAAGGTAGCGTGAGAGAGGACGGATTTGATGAACGTGTATCGAAAGAACGTGAGGGTGAACGAGTACCGCAGGGCCGACCGTAACCGAGAAGCAGAGTAAGCACGTCAGAGTCCAGGCGATCAGGCCAAAAGGAGCGATCCCGGCAATAGGTAATAGAGTACGTGGTGGTGAAAAACCCACGGGGCTCACGAGACCCAGTGTGAGAGTGTGTGTGAGTGTGTGAGAGTGCTGGCATACTAGCTAAAGCCAAAAGGCGAAACAATTAAACTAGGTTTGGTGACAGGTGAGGCCCTGCTAGATGCCAAGCGGCGGGAGAGGCTCTATCTATGCGTTGGTGCGAGGGAACAAGGCCACTGACGTTGTGGCGGGGTGTCGGCCTCTCGGTGACTGTTAAACATAAGATAGAATGGGGTGACAGGTGAGGCCCTCCCTATGCCACATTGCGAGGCGACTAACTATGATTTGGCCCGAGGGGCATAATACCTCCAAGTATGAGGATGGGTGTTGGCCTCGCGGGACCACTAACCTAAGGCGAAGAAGCCGGGGGGGAAATTACCACTAGTGGTCACCTAGGACCCTAACAGCCAGCAACAGCTAACTAAGAGGGGATGGGTAAGGAGTGAGAGAGAGGATGCACTGCGTGACGAAGATGAGGGGGGTTTGAGGAGGAATCATAAAGCAGACTGTAATGGTCCTTCTGGAAAATAATGGAGCACGGGTATAGCGGGCAGACTTGGCCCAGCCAAGCAGGGAAATGAAAACCAAAGGTGAATACGCGGGCCACATCCCGTGATGGGACCGAAAACCGCTTGGCAACAGCAACTACGTAGCTTAAGACCGCGCATGACAGCAGGAAAAGGAAACACTAATTCATTTTTTAAATTTTTTTTTTTTAAACCTTGCACAACAACACCTAAATCAGCTGCAGGTTATTGATTTAATTCTATATCATTTCCAGGGGAAATTGTCATGTAGAAGCACACTTGATCTGTACCTGCAGAGGTCCTAGGCAAAACACTGCACCTGCAATAGTTACAGCGCATAGAAACAAAACACATAATGTCACCCAGCTAAAAGTCCCTGAGTAGGTCGACCTATAACCATGGTACCTACCCGTATCCAGAACTGCACACAACACACGTGTGTGTGGCCACGCCGCTGGTGAGAACAGATGTGCACATGCGACGGCGTCGCAGGGGGTGAGGGAAAGCTCAAGAAAAAGGGAAGAGGAGTCACCGCAAGAGCCTGTTGCCCGCATCCAGTCTCCCCGCCGACAATTGCCACCAGCCTCGCACCTGCACCAATAGTGCCCGTCCCCACTCTGGCCTCCCCCACACCCGAGAGCACTGCGGCGCACAACACACCCAGCCTGGTTCGCTGCACACTGGGCGGTAGGAAACAAACTGGGGTTGTGGACCCAATACCCCCGGAGCTGGTTGACAGTCAAGAATGCCAGGAAGAGACGCGCAGCGCAGCAACAAAGCCGACCCCCCCCCCCCCAAGAGCCACGGTCGAAAGGGGGAATGCGGAGGACACTTCCCTCCGAACAGCAAGGGAGCCTGACCCAGACGGACAACAGAGGCTTGGAGCACCAGGGACAACCGGAGATCCGGAGCAGAGCCCAGGAGGACCGCAGACAATGAGCAGCAGGTGAACAGCAGGCCAGGCAAAGGATCCTCGAGGACCAGGTAAGTGGAGAAATGGAGCGACAAACACGTACGGGACGGAGGAAGGTGAGTAGGAGGGTTTAAGTAGTGTAACAAGCCCCTGCCACAACTGCAGGCCAAGCCTTTTCATTTATGATATAGCGGATTCCTTTTCTTACTGTTCACAAACACAAACAGAAGGGGATGGTTGCCACACTTGCAGTTGAAGCCGATTGTCAATGAATCCTACTAGTATATGTGCTCATTTTCGACACTGTAAATGTTTACATGTACTTGTACTGAGTTTGAGGAGTTAAAGGACCACTATAGTGCCAGGAAAACATACTCGTTTTCCTGGCACTATAGTGCCCTGAGGGTGTACCCATCCTCAGGGACCCCCTCCTCCTCTCCGCCTCCGATCCTCCTCTTCGGCTGAATGTGCATGCGCGGCAGGAGCTGCACGCGCATTCAGCCGGTCTCATAGGAAAGCATTTACAATGCTTTCCTATGGACGCTTGCGTGTTCTCACTGTGATTTTCACAGTGAGAAGCACGCAAGCGCCTCTAGCGGCTGTCAATGAGAGAGCCACTAGAGGATTTGGAGGCTGGATTAACCCATTTATAAACATAGCAGTTTCTCTGAAACTGCTATGTTTATAAAAAAAAGGGTTTAATCCTAGAGGGCCCTGGCACCCAGACCACTTCATTAAGCTGAAGTGGTCTGGGTGCCTAGAGTGGTCCTTTAAGTTACAAGTAAAGTTTTTTTTAGAGAGTTTCCCCCTGGAATGGATTTAACATTTGTTACAGTTGTGAGAATTATTCCATATCCAACATAAATCAAAGTAGTCTTGTTTTTAATGCATGTACCTGTTTCCTTATCTAGAAGCACCTGCTTCCTTTCTTCATCAAAGGCCTGCAGCCAACGCTGTTTCTGCTCAGGTTTTTTCGCAAGGAACAGATGAACTTCATCAGAGATTTTGCTTTGCAGTTTGAATGCGTTTTTCACACTGATGTTAAAGTCTTTATCTTTACCGTCCTCTATGTTAATAACATCCATGTCATCCATGTTAATCTGGCCTTTGTAATATAGAATATCTCTTCGAAGGAGATCCTACAATTAAAAATAAATCATAATGAAAACACATAAACAGTGACATTTTGTAAATGCAAATATCTTGTAAAATGAGTCATGTGATATTTGATATAGAAGATGTGTATTACTCTTGGGCAGAGGTAGGCAACCTTTGGCACTCCAGATGTTGTGAACTACATCTCCCCTGATGCATTGCCAGCATTATGGGAGATGTATTCCAGGATATCCGACCTAACTAAGACCTAACTATACTCTAGTGCAGGGGTAGACAACTTTTGGCATGCCAGATGTTGTAGACTACATCTCCCATAATGCTCTTACAGCTATAATACTGCCAAAGCATCATGGGGGATGAAGTCCATAACATCCGTGCCAAAGGTTGCCTACCTTTGGAGGGTCTCAATAGTGACTTAAAGACTGAACTGCAGCACTCAGCAGTTACATGCAAGAGAACCCATGAAATATTTTATCTAAAATGCTAATTGGTAAAGGAGGTATCTACTATTTATAAGTTGACAAACAATCTGTACATTTAGGCTAATATATATACATGGGGAATATCCTCTTAAAGGGACACTATAGTCACCTGAAAAACTTCAGCTTAATGAGGTTGTTCAGGTGAGAACTATAGCTCCCTGCAGCCTCTCTCATGTAAACACTGTATTTTCTGAGCATCCTGTGATTCAGTATCTCCTCCCTCTGCATGCAGACACTGAACTTTCCTCATAGAGATTCATTGATTCAATTCATCTCTATGAGGAGATGCTGATTGGCCAGGGCTGTGTTTGAATCATGCTGGCTCTGCCCCTGATCTAACTCTTTGTCAGACTCTGCCAATCCTATGGGGAAGCACTGTGATTGGATCAGGCTACCACATGTCAGCAGACTGCTTGTTTTTACTGAGTCTAACAGCATGCAGACTTACAGCTTCTGGCTTGAATACAGTAAGATTTTTACTATATTTATGGTGGCATGAGGGGCCCAGGGGGGCTAGATGGTGGGTTTAGCACTATGGGGTCAGGAATACATGTTTGTGTTCCTGACCCTATAGTGATCCTTTAAGGAGAAAAATGGCACAACTTAGTGCAAAACTGTGTGTTTTTATAATTTAAATATATGTCAAATGGTCACTCACAATTGTAAGAGGCAAAAAAAAGCCTTCAGTATACGTTTTGTAGATGCAGGTCTTTTGGAGGACACATATGTTATTTACTAATAAATGCACCATTTTGTGTATATACACATCATTGAAGTAACCAATACTGATAACCTGCACATAAACCACACACTAAAGTGATTAAAGTGACTAAGTCACCTCTGGTCACTTCATGACTATTACATAAAGATAAAATCTTTCTGAAATATTCAGGTTGACTATGTTGAAATTTCATTCAAATTACAGAAAAAGACATCATAACACCAAGTAAAGACTACTTCATCTCACAGACAAAGAAACAGAAAATGGACAAAAGCCAATGTTTTTGCTGCCAACTTTTATCTATTCCTGCAATTGTCTTTATTGATGGCTGTGAGAAAAGTTAATCGGCTCATCCATCACACGAGTTGGTCTACAGAGGTCCACGTGATAGGTAACATTGGACTGTTGATAGATCTCTTTCTTATATTCGTGAGCAACAAGAATACAACAGTGACATGGGCTCACTGGATTAAAACAGTAACAGAGCCACTTTAAAATTGCATGTTTGGGCATTAAGATGAATACCATACCTTTTTGCAGTAGATAATTTGATGATCAAAAAGGAAAAATATCCGTTGTTGACCCTTTGATTGAAGATGTGAAATCTTGGTCAATTCTCCAGAGTGTATGAGTTCTGAACTGCTTGTTAGAATATCTTCACCCTAACAGGAAAATATATACATATTTATTTTTAAAGAGGCTGTAAAATAAATCTACAATACTACTGTACAATCAAGAAAGCGATAAAACAGGGTTGCCCATAGTCACCTATCTTACCTTTTACCATACCTTTTTATTTTAGCATTAGACCAACTTATTAGATATAGTTACTCTTCTGCAGGTAAAAAAGTAATTCAGATGGGCTCCCATGCAATTAAAGATATGGGTTTCGCAAAAGATTTTTTACACTTTCTCTTGGACCCTGTAACATCTCTTCCAAATGCAATCACTCATATCACTCAATTGATATGGCTTGATAACAGGCTTCCAAATTAACTGGTCAACAGCTTTGAGGTTAGGCCCAGGTCCACCAATTAGTGTAAGAACACCGACCACCCTATCATGAGCAACTTTGAATTTCAAATATCTAAGTTTAGTTATCCCCCCACAAATGTCCACTATACATTGCATAAACATGACCACCTCTGGCTAACGTTGGGGATCTCCTCTCTAGATGGGAGCATCTCTCTCTCAGCCCTCTCCTAAAACCAGCTATAGTACTCAACCTTCTTTACCCTTTACAAGCCTTACACATACTATTCTCAAGATCAGACAACAAAATTCTTAATAAGCTGTTATCCAAATTTCTTTGGCAACGTAAACATCCAAGAATTGCAATGCATGATTATATCAACCCAGATTAAAATTTCAACCTTTACACTCTAGCAGCACACTATCATCACGCTCTAGATTTAATTAAATTATTGGGACAATTCACAGTAGTACATATAGAAGTACAGCTTTGCCCTGGTACAGCACTCTCTCAGTTGCTACATACTCCATATGCCTTTCTTCCAGAGGAACCAAATGAAATTATTGGCATCCACTATAAAAACGTGGAAATTGGTGAGAACACTCCTAGGGCTCCAGTGGCAATACACCAGATTTATTCCCTTCATACGTAACCCGCACTTTCAGGATGGGGAAGCCTAATATCGATACTGCTCTTGGGAAGCTGCAGGTCCTACCAACATATATGATTTCCTGGATGAACTCAATGAAATTACCCTCACATTTCATAAAATTAAACACAAATTTCATGACCTCTGTGTTCTCTTCTTCACATACCTAAAGACATGCAGCTCATCTGCATCTCAGCTGGGTAGACTGGAACCCTCCGCCCCCATAGTTTAATAATACAAACCTCTTGAAAATGCCAATCCAGGTTTGTCGCCCCCGATGATGCGTCAACTTTACTGTACTAAGAGGTTTTGTGGTGACCATGGCAGGTGTGCTAACACTTTAATGACCATTGTAGTGATAATATAAAGCCTCCGTTTAAAATAACGTGGATAGGGATTTGGGATAGTGTGCAAGTAATTGTGAAAGTAAATAGTTTGACTGATCCATTCGCTGATTTATGTAGTCCTAGGAAATTAAAACTTTTATATAATGTAATCAGCATATATTTTACACTAGTGGGTTAATGCGTAAAGAGCAATTGTGGAGCAAAGCTCTAAAAAGCCATTTCCATGGAAACCAATACGATGTTTCTGCATATTTGTCTACTTTTAGAATGTTGCCCCCTCATGCTCTTCATGCATAATTACAAGGTGATGATCACGAGCCTGTCATTATTTTTTATCATCAAAAATCTACCGGCTGCTGGTATCAATATTTAATGGGTGCTTTTTTACCAACAAACGTGTAAATGAGCCAATGATGTTTTATTAAGGTTATAACTACCTCCCAGCCTTCGATAGTGCTTTGCCAGTGAGCTATCTTGTCAATATTTTCAAGCCTCCTCTTCCGTTCATTGATCAGTTTGGCAACATTTTTCATAGCGTCCAATGCTGCTTCGACATCTGCAAAGTCCCTAATTACAAAAAGGATAAAAGAGAGTAAAAATGTAGCTACTGAGCACTTAAAATATTATCATAACATTCATTTGAAGCAAGGGATGCATATAAAACACATAGTAAGAAAGTGATTTTGGGTATAGATTACTGAAATATTTAAATTATGTAAATTTACACAATTTGTATTTTTCTCTTATTTGGTCAGTTTTTATAGAACATTTTGGAGAACAAAAAGTTTTAGAGAGTATACGATGTTCTTTATCTTGCGATATTTCACGCTGGGTCTGAAATGTAAATATTAAAACAAAATGCAATTTTTCTTACATAAAGTAGGTCTGACAAAAATACATAAATACAAATAGTCAATACCTTGCTGATATGTATTTGTAAGGACCCTGGAGGCATTACTAGTAGTACTACTAATGGTATTTTTGCATTTTAGCACAATACCCAGACACAGTAAATAAAGAGAAATCACACATTCTGTATATATATATATACACTGCTCAAAAAAATAAAGGGAACACGTAAACAACACAATGTAACTCCAAGTCAATCGCACTTCTGTGAAATCATACTGTCCACTTAGGAAGCAACACTGAGTGACAATCAATTTCACATGCTGTTGTGCAAATGGGATAGACAACAGGTAGAAATTATAGGCAATTAGCAAGACACCCCCAATAAAAGAATGGTTCTGCAGGTGGTGACCACAGACCACTTCTCAGTTCCTATGCTTCCTGGCTGATGTTTTGGTTACTTTTGAATGCTGGTGGTGCTTTCACTCTAGTTGTAGCATGAGACGGAGTCTACAAACCACACAAGTGACTCAGGTAGTGCAGCTCATCCAGGATGGCACATCAATGCGAGCTGTGGCAAGAAGGTTTGCTGTGTCTGTCAGCATAGAGTCCAGAGCATGGAGGCGCTACCAGGAGACAGGCCAGTACATCAGGAGACGTGGAGGAGGCCATAGGAGGGCAACAACCCAGCAGCAGGACCGCTACCTCTGCCTTTGTGCAAGGAGGAACAGGAGGAGCACTACCAGAGCCCTGCAAAATGACCTCCAGCAGGCCACAAATGTGCATGTTTCTGCTCAAACGGTCAGAAACAGGGTGGTATGAGGGCCCGACGTCCACAGGTGGGGGTTGTGCTTACAGCCCAAGACCGTGCAGGACGTTTGGCATTTGCCAGAGAACACCAAGATTGGCAAATTCGCCACTGGCGCCCTGTGCTCTTCACAGATGAAAGCAGGTTCACACTGAGCACATGTGACAGACGTGACAGAGTCTGGAGACCCCGTGGAGAACGTTCTGCTGCCTGCAACATCCTCCAGCATGACCGGTTTGGCAGTGGGTCAGTAATGGTGTGGGTGGCATTTCTTTGGGGGGCCGCACAGCCCTCCATGTGCTCGCCAGAGGTAGCCTGACTGCCATTAGGTACCGAGATGAGATCCTCAGACCCCTTGTGAGACCATATGCTGGTGCGGTTGGCCCTGGGTTCCTCCTAATGCAAGACAATGCTAGACCTCATGTGGCTGGAGTGTGTCAGCAGTTCCTACAAGATGAAGGCATTGATGCTATGGACTGGCCCACCCATTCCCCAGACCTGAATCCAATTGAGCACACCTGGGACATCATGTCTCGCTCCATCCACCAACTTCACGTTGCACCAGGCTGTCCAGGAGTTGGCAGATGCTTTAGTCCAGGTCTGGGAGGAGATCCCTCAGGAGACCATCCACCACCTCACCAGGAGCATGCCCAGGCATTGTAGGGAGGTCATACAGGCATGTGGAGGCCACACACTACTGAGCCTCATTTTGACTTGTTTTAAGGACATTACATCAAAGTTGGATCAGCCTGTAGTGTGTTTTTCCACTTTAATTTTGAGTGTGACTCCAAATCCAGACCTCTATGGGTTGAAAAATTTGATTTCCATTTTTTAATTTTTGTGTGATTTTGTTGTCAGCACATTCAACTATGTAAAGAACAAAGTATTTCAGAAGAATATTTAATTCATTCAGATCCAGGATGTGTTATTTTTGTGTTCCCTTTATTTTTTTGAGCAGAGTACATATATATATGAAAATAAAACAGATATTTAAAACATCTATAGCAATTTGTATCAACCTCTGAAATGCTAATGTAAAGCTAACAGCAAAATGGAAACGCCTCACCTTCACTGCATGTAGGAATGCTATGCTCCATTGAAACTTCCTTTGCTATAAAATTCGCAAATTATTATTATATAATTATTATTCCTTTTACAGGTGGTAAACTGACATTTTCAGCACACTTACAGGCAATAAAACAATCACCAGTGACTTCTAGCAGTGGAATGTGTTCCTCTACAGGCTGGTAATGATTCCAACAGTATAAATAAGGGTGAGTGAGGCTTTATGGACTAAATTTCAATGTGCAAAATACATGAAAGTAAAACTGTTTGTATTCGATTCTGGGAGTGAAGTGTTAAATTCTACTTGAAGCACTGCACAAAAGCTGCATGCTCATTAAAGCCTCACAAAAACAAATGACAACTGCTCACATCTCCTGTTAATTTTTCTAATATGAAGAGATGAGTTTTTCAAATTTGAGACCTCGTTCACTCCTATTACAGTTTTCTTTGTATGAATCTATGATAAACATACATTCGGTTTGATACAAGAAGCAAGACACCAATGTGTAGAGCCATGGTACTTTTTTCTACCAACAATGGCATTGAAATAATCAAAAGAAAATATTGGTTGCGTAGTTGCAGTTAGATACATGATGTGTATTTAATGGTAAATGGCCATGATTCTACCTTGTGCATGCTGGGGATTTTTTTTTAAATTCTCTATGGGCCTTACTAAATCACCCATTCAGTCCTACTGAATACACCAGACTTTTTGTGGAGATCCCCAATCCGTCACCAGACCTCCATGTGCTAGAATCTACTTTTTGAGTTGATTAATCTGAGTATCAAACTTCAAGCCTGAAGTACCTGTGCTGGGGATTCGTATATTTCAGAAGTTCAGCTAGTTGGAGTGGATATTTGCAGATCTTCTGTACTGGTGTCAATAAAAATCCATCCAGAGAGATGTCAATCATTTTCTGCACGAGACGGCAGGTCTCAAAAAAATACCCGTACTTTTTGACCTTTGAGAGCTTGGAGAGTTCTGTGCAGGCGTTAGGATGGTTGTTGCAGTATTCGGAATACACCTGAAAGTCTGTTTTCTAGAGGATGAAAGCACAAAGACACATCAAACCTGCTATTCTTTAAAAGATCAAAACATAAAAACATATATTCTTTGCTTTAAACCTGAAAATTAGTGAGAGAATGCGGTGATGGCCATTATCCCGGTAGCTGCGTAAACTGTGAAATCTTCAGAATAGGAGGCACCTTCCATTTGTTAAGCTTTCTCTTTTTGTACAGAGGGAGTAGAAGCTTCAGGTATGGATACAAACTTGTGGAACCCAGAACCATGATTCTGTTACAATAACTACAGCAATGTTCCTGCTGGTTGCTGCACTTGAAGAACTTTGCCCTAGAATAGCTGTTTATAAATATCCCCTCAGTTGTTATTAATGCAGTTTGTTCCTTCACAATACTGCAGTCTATTTTAGGAACCACAGCTTGATTAACACCGATCTCCAATGAGGATAATGAGACCCAAGGCTAGGTTTTTGTAATTAGTCAGAACTTCTCATTAGAAGTTTGTGTTGAGAGCACTGTGAGGGCTAATCTCGATCTTTGTGCATTTCCCGAATTTCTTTTTCCTTCTTCTAAGCGTATACTAGCATGAGTTTCACACTAATTTTTATCTATGTGACCCATTCCTTTAATGAAATAAACCTTTTGTTTATTTTGTCAATGTTACTCAAAACAATGTCATCATTGCCTCTCTTCATTGTCACTATATATACAATGACAGCATTTCTCTTTCCCAATCTTTGTAATAAAAAGTTTGTCTGTTTATGCGAGAAAGTACAAGGAGAATTCCTTGTATTTTATATGTTAGACATCAGTCAGAGATAAGTATCGAAAAAGCTGCTACTCGCTAATGTTAGCAAAACAATGGGTAGCAATTAACAGCTTTTTAGTAAAATCTAATAAATTGGAAATTAACTCTATCAGGGTTAATCACTAAACACCGGATTTTGCCTGGCTGGACAAAATTGGGTGAAAATAGCAGCGATTGCCTGGATTCAGACAGTGAGCGAATTAAAATCTCTGCTTTCGCATATGAACTTTATACAAATTATAGGATTCTGAAGAGTCACAAAGCACCGATTTTAACAAAATTCAGGAACGAATGCATACAACAGGATGCACATTCACACATTATTGTTTCCTTTCTTTTTGCATGTGAACGATAATATTAAATATTATTTTTCAGCTGGCAGCACTATCAACCAATGGACAAATAGTTACAAAAAGCTTGGCACTGCGAGAGTTAACCATGTGGCAGCTGGCCAGCATTTGCCATTAGGACTTAAGTGAATAACCCTGTATGTTTGCAGGCAGCTTTTCATTCTAGTCTCTCTCTATTTTCTTGTAAGGTACTGGCTTCTATGGTTTAATCAAATCCTGCTGCAGACATTGTAGCAGGACACTCTAAGTAACATTGGAAACACCAGCATTGATCAGTGCAGTAGTTATGCTGTCGTTCCCCAGGTTTTTAGGCTAATGGCATTGGGAACAGGTCATCGATAGAATTGATATTAAGTTTAAATTTGGCATTACCAAGTCAACTGGAGGGGGTGAGGACTCCGGGTGCCCGGGAGAGCACTTGCCTTTACCAGCCTGCTCCTAGACAGTTTCACTAATAATGGGGGGGAGCAGCACCCAGAGTTTTGGCAACATAAATACTACACTGAGATGGCTCTGTTGCATATAGTGTGACTTAGAAGATTTTTCAAATTCAATTATTTTGACCTTGCATTTGAAATTCACTTTGCATTCACACTTTAGTAAATAAGCCCTAAAATGCAAACTCCAGGTTTCAAAAAAGATTGCATGACAATGTACTGTTCGGCGGGGCGTAGCAGAAACTCATTGTAAAGCGTTAACAGCTGGGAAGGAAACACAATATATAGGCTTACTTACATATTCCAAAAAACAAGCCCCGATCTCACTCAAATGTGGGGCATCTTTGTTGATTCGTTTCTCTAGAGTTTTCAGGAATTTTTTCTGAAATTTGAAGATATCCTCAATGTTCCCAAATATTGTCCACAGCTGATCTTCTGTGAACATGTCGGCCCGTTTACGGCATTGCTTGATGTAACCCTTGGTGGAACATATCAAGATGTAAGAAACATGGCGTAATCATAAACAGGACAATGTGCAGATTGCGTTTTAGCACTTTGGTTGGCACATTTGCACCAAGATATTTTGTGATGGTTTTGACTACATCTCCTGTGCTCTTACAGCCATGGTGGGGGAAATGGAGTCCACAGCATTTGGAATGCCGAGGCTTGCCTACGACTGATACAGAACACCATTGCATTGCAAGTTGGCCTACAAGCAGACGTATGCCCAAGAAATGTCTGTCTAGTGGGTGCCCAAATGCACCTGTATTATTGAATACTTGCTTTTAGCTGTAAAACAAAGTATTAGTGTGTAACTTTTTAACCATTATATCAGTGTTTCGAAGTTCCCTAGAACCCTGTATGGTTTTCTTAGAACTGTGTGTAACTATCACAACAAGTAATGGCACTTGATGTAGACTCGTTAAAGCACCCAATCAATGTTTAAAGGTCCATCATCTATTTACAGAATTTCTATTCAATTTTGGATCAGTTTTTAAAAGTGCAGCAATCCCACCAAAAAGCAATGTTATTCTCCGACTGAATACTTTCAGCATATTGACCCTTGGGATATATGACCCAATTATTATTATTATTATTATATTTATATAGCGCCAACAAAATCCATAGTGCTTTACAAATGAGCTTTGCCCTCCAGGGGCGTACCTGGAGCATTTGGCACGCTGGGCGGATCTTATATTTGGCACCCCCCTCAATTTTAAAATATAAAACACACATTTAAAAAAAATGTATTTAGCATTGAGCTGTGTTTGCATTTTTTATGTATTTAGCACTGAGCAGTGTTTGTGTGTTTGAATGTTTTTGTATGAAGTATGTGTGAGTGAATGTAGGAGTGTGTTTGCATGTAGTGTTGGCATTTGAATGCAGGCGTGCATTTTTGTGTAGTGTGTTTTTTGAATATGTGGTGTGTTTTTATGTAGTGTTGATATTTGGATGCAGGGGTGTATTTGTGTGTAGTGTTGGCGAAATGCTGAGATGAATGTACATATACACATACTGTACTCAAATATACACACACTGGCACACATGCAGATACATAGACGCACAGATGCACACACTGGCACATACAGATATACAGACACAAAGGTATACACATGCAGATACATAGAAACACAGTCATGCACAGATACAGACAAACACTTACACACATACAGATAGAGACACACGGATACAAACACACATATAGATACAGACACACACTGACACACATGTACAGAGACATACAGGCACAGACACGCATACAGACACACACATACAGATAAACTGACACACATACAGACACACATACAGATACACAGACACACAGGTATAAGTGTGTGTGTGTTTATTGTATGCAGTGTGTGTTTGTGTACTGTATGCAGTGTGTGTGTGTATAGTGTATATGCTGTGTGTATAGTGTGTATGCTGTGTGTGTGTGTATATATTATGTATACTGTGTGTGTATAGTGTGTATGCTGTGTGTGTGCGTGTATAGTGTGTATGCTGCGTGTATAGTGTGTATGCTGTGTGTGTATAGTGTGTATGATGTGTGTGTATAGTGTGTATGCAGTGATTGTGTGTATAATGAGTGTATAGTGAGTAGTGTGTACAGGGCCGCCCACCAGAAATTTTGGGGCCCCTGACAAAGCACAAGGTCTGGGCCCCCCACCGCCCCTGGCCCCCACCCCAGCCCGGCCCACCCACGAGTCCGCCCACAGTACTCCTACCTAGTCCGCTGACAATGATGCAGGACTGAATGTGGTGTGTATAGTGGAAATGAATTAGAATGTGTGTAATGGATGTAGTGTTTGTGTGTATTAGATACTGTTTGTGCAGTGAATGCAGAGTGTGTGTTTGTGTAGTGGAGGCAGTGTGTATAATAAACGTAGAGTGTGTTCGAGTAGTGGATGTAGTCTGTGTTTGTGTAGTGGATGTAGTGTTTGTGTGTACTAGATGCAATGTGTTTAGTGGATGCAGTGTTTGTAGTGGATGTGTATTAGACACAGTGTCTCTGTATAGGGAATGCAGAGTGTTTGAATGTGTGGTGGATGTAGTGTGTGTACTGTGAATACAAGGTGTTTGTGTAGTGGATGATGTGTGTATAGTTAATGCAGAGTGTGTGTTAGTGTAGTGAATGCAGAGTGTTTGTCAGTGGAGTGGATGCAGAGTGTGTATCAGTTTAGTGGATGCAGAGTGTGTGTCAGTGGAGTGGATGTAGAGTGTGTGTTAGTGAAGTGGATGCAGAGTGTGTGTTAGTGTAATGAATGCAGAGTGTGTGTTTACTAGTGTATGAATGTAATGTAATAATGTAAATGTAATACATGTTTCTCCTCCCTCCCTGCTTCTTACCTGGTTCAGGGAGGGGGGAGATTCCATCCCTGGCGGTCCGGTGGCATTGTGGGGCCCCCCGTCTCCCTGTACTTGCAGAGGGGGCCCAGCAGACTGAAGGAGCATTTCCCTCTCTCTAACTCCCTCTGACGGCCGCGGGTCTCGTGGGAGTTAGAGAGAGGGAAATGCTGTAATGTGCTTCTGCAGTCTGCTGGTCCCCCTCTGCAAGTATAGGGAGCCGGGTGACCCGCGGTTGCACATATTTATAGCGATTATATAGCGATTATATATATATGTGCAGAGAGGGAATGTAGGGCCCAAGACTGCCAAAGCAGTCCGGGTCCCCCAAGACTGCCGGGCCCGTGACAACCGTCATGGTTGTCACCCCCTGATGGCGGCCTTTGTGTGTGTCTCCCACCCCCGACTCTTACCTGTGTCCAGGGAGGGAAGACACACTACATTCCCTGGTGGTCTGGTGGCACAGTATGTTTTGCCCAGTGAAGAGAGGCCAGGGAGTCTCCACATCCAGTAGCAGCATGTCCTCTATTCTCACGATCCGCAGAGCGTTTCCACGGGTTGCTATAGCAACGCTCTTGCAGAAACAGAGGACATGTTGCTGCTGGATGTGGAGACTCCTACAAGCGGCATGAAACACAATATTATTTAGAGAAATTACAGATGTCAAGCGATTTAATGAGGTTTAGGAGTAGTATTTTTACCTCACATATATCCTTCAAATGTTTGATATAATCCTTTTCTGTATTTAAGATCTCATTGATAACATTGGTCCTCATTTGGTCTTTGTTTGTTTGTCCATAGCCATGGCGTCTGGTAGCATTTCGGGTGTCCTTATCCTTCTCTCCAGCTTTTGGGATGTATTCTTCCATTGGTTCATCCTGGTTCACACGAAGCTGTCGAGAAATGAATGATGAGATTAAGTAAATCTGAGAGGATATGAGAGAAGGACTGTTCCTATTGGTGGGAAGTTGGTGATGTAATGTTAACCCTGTGAGGGTAGTTATGCATGTTTTCTTTTTCCTATACAAATAAACACCTTAGCTTTTTCTTTGCTGCTGAGGAAATAAAAGAAAGAGAGAAGCCTAATATGAGCCTCCGTGTCCTTTAATAAAATCGTCATTATCAACATGATTTTGCCATGAGGAAGACTCTGAGATTTTATCTCTCAGTCATGTGCCATGGGAATAGACTAAATAGTGCCAGGCTACTCTTCACACCATAACCACTACAGAGGCTAAAATCTGCATTAAAGCGACTGATTTTTCCTAACATGTCTCAATTTTGAACTGTTAGACAATCGAGATTAAAGGCAAGAAACTGACAAGAGTTCACGTAAAAAACATCATACCTCTTATTATGGAATTCAAACCTCGAGCACACTTATCTTATATAAGGTATGCACAAAATGGTCACTAGATGGCAGAATAACAATCTAATGTAATTACACTGATTTTGTCAACAAAATGCCTGTTCTTTCCTGGCAATCAATGGGGGAAACGGTTGGGATTCCACAGCTACCAGGACAGAAGGGAGTTGTATGTGGAGTGTATAGGAAATATAGAGACACCAGAGATAAAGAAACAAAAGGCAATACAAGGATAGAAAGACAGAAATGGGGATATGTTGTGAGAGACAAAAAGGGTTCAAAATGAGGAGAGAGAAACGGGGGATATGGGAAGAGGGACAAAAGTGTATGATCTGGATTTGAGAAGTGGGGACTGATCTGCGGTATCAATGGAAGAGAGATATCAACCGTGGGGGAAGTTAACTATGGGCGGAGAGAGAAGTTTTCATTACAGGTGAAGTTTTGGTGGGGGGTGGGACAGCATTTTGTTTTTAGGAAACCCTGCATTTAACCATGTAAACAACACAAAAAGCTGCAAACTGCTTCGCAATATGTGTGTGAGCTGTCATGCTATATACTTATATATTTGGACATTGTGTTATTACTCTATGACCCGATGTGCTGCGTTCTCCAATACCCTTTTTCTGCTTATCCTCCTTTTTATTTTTGTATTTGTTATTATTTTTTATTGTCCTAAGATGGAGGGAGGGGAAGATGGCAGTAAATATAATTACCACAACAATATATCAAAACTAAGCATCGACGATGACTGTGTAGGAGGTTCTGCAACCACCACACCTTATGGAGTCATGACTAACTCCTACTATGCCTTTCATTAAACGGTATTATTCTCTACAGGTGGAAATTCCATGTGCGTTGTCACACAGGATAAGTGAGGCAAGTGTTTACCAGCTGCCCTGTAAGACCTAACACTGTGCATAAAGATATTTTTATTTAAACAAGTTTGAGAGGTTTATTTTTGTTGTCTTGTTAAAGGGAAACGCCAAGCAATAAAACAACTTTAGCTTAATGAAGCCGTTTTGGTGTATAGATCATGCCCCTGCAGTCTCACTACTCAATTCTCTGCCATTTAGGAGTCAGATCACTTTTTACTTGTTTATGCAGCCCTAGCCACACCTCCCCTGGCTGTGAATTGCACAGCCTGCATGAAAAAAAATGGTTTCCTTTTAATCACATCTTGCAGCACAGTGTGTTTACTCTAAAAGTTTTTCTCTCCTGCTATGTAAATTGAACTTTAATTACACATGGGAGGCTGTCAAAGACTCTAGCAGACTATTAAAGCAGGAGATAATAAATTCTAAATTAAACACGTTGTGGAAGGGATGGACTTTTTTTACAGTATGTGTGCAGGGAGGCTGTATGAGTGTCAATCATGGCATGTGTAGCTTGAGCTCCATAAACAAAGTGATTTCTATACACTAAAACCACTTCAATAAGGTAAACTTGTTTTGATGCTTAGAGTGTCCCCAGCCACAGTGGAATATTCATGCCAGAACAATTTTCTAATCGAACTGTAGTACATTAGATGATCACAATCGTGTATGAATGGCACACACACCAACCAAGGGGTCAATGTCAAAACTGATAGAAGTTCCTCTTTATTAGCTCGAAATAATTTACTTGTGATGTGTGACTTATTTCTCAGAACTTGTTTCTACATTGAATAATAGAAGTGTATTTGAGTGTGGAACTTTATTACTTGGTGAATTTGCTGTATATTAGAAAGCGAAGGAGCTGAAGATTCAAGTAGTAACGTTTCAAATTCATATAGTACAATTATTTTAAAAAGTGAATTTGTTTTATTAAAATTAGCATGTAACACCTGAGAAATATTAACAAGGTTTGGTGTGATCATATGAAGAATATTGTGTTAAGAGTGAGACACGTGTCTTATTTTTCATTCTGCTTGGTTCATCTTGAATATGAACATCAATGGAACGGTTTCTTTGCTAGAGTGAGTGCTTTGATAATTTATAATTCTTGGATTTAGTTACAAAGTGAATATAGTGCCTCGATCAATGTTTTCAGAATAATTTCATGCAATACATTCAGTACTTACTCTCACAAAACTGGCAGGAAACCATCCCTCACAGTCAAGGATCCTCCCCCACCACCATTCTTTATTGGTGGCGTCCATCACTTCGATGACACTTCCGACCTTGAAACCCAGTTCTTGGTCATCCATAGTGACATGATCCCATAGGGCTTCTGCATACACCACATTTCCATCACTTATCAGCTGTGAAGTCAAAGCAGACAGTTTAATCAAAAAACATATTGATCCAAATCGCCAGACCATCAACAATGTGCTTTACCTCATTTCACATTACGGTTATGCATATAACTTATTACTGAAAAGACAACACTAAATTAAAATGTCTCTATATTGCAATCCATTTTCCTACAAAGAGCATATGACTTTTAAATATGGAAATTGACTGCTATTATTTTTTTCTGATCAAATATGGCATCGACTTCTTTTTTTTATAATCATACAAAGTCAAATAAATGAGAAAGTAATAGTAAAAGAAAAATTGTGCAAATACAGTTGCAAGAAAAAGTATGTGAACCCTTTGGAATGATATGGATTTCTGCACAAATTGGTCATAAAATGTGATCTGATCATCATCTAAGTCACAACAATAGACAATCACAGTCTGCTTAAACTAATAACACACAAAGAATGAAATGTTGCCATGTTTTTATTGAACACACCATGTAAACATTCACAGTGCAGGTGGAAAAAGTATGTGAACCCTTGGATTTAATAACTGGTTGAAGCTCCTTTGGCAGCAGGAGTAAAACAACGGTCAGCAATATTCTTGGGATGTCTGGTGTGAATTGCTTTCTTGAGGTCATGCCACAGCATCTCAACCGGGTGGAGGTCAGGACTCTGACTGGGCCACTTCAGAAGGCGTATTTTCTTCTGTTTAAGCCATTCTGTTGTCGATTTACTTCTATGCTTTGGGTCATTGTCCTGTTGCAACACCCATCTTCTGTTGAGCTTCAGCTGGTAGACAGATGGCCTTAAGTTCTCCTGCAAAATGTCTTGATAAACTTGGGAATTAATTTTTCCTTAGATGATAGCAATCTGTCCAGGCCCTGAAGCAGCAAAGTAGCCCCAAACCATGATGCCCCCACCACCATACTTCACAGTTGAGATGAGGTTTTGATGTTGGTGTGCTGTGCCTTTTTTTCGCCACACATAGTGTTGTGTGTTTCTTCCAAACAACTCAACTTTGGTTTCATTTGTCCACATAATATTTTGCCAGTACTGCTGTGGAACATCCAGGTGCTCTTGTGCAAACTGTAAACGTGCAGCAATGTTTTGTTTGGACAGCAGTGTTTAGTGTTTTACTTATTGTAGATTCGCTAACAGGGATGTTAGCATTTGCCAGTGACTTTTGTAGGTCTTTAGCTGGCACTCTAGGATTCTTCTTCACCTCATTGAGTAGTCTGCGCTGTGCTCTTGCAGTCATCTTTACAGGACGGCCACTCCTAGGGAGAGTAGCAGCAGTGCTGAACTTTCTCCATTAATAGACAATTTGTCTTACTGTGGACTGATGAACAGCAAGGCTTTTGGAGATACTTTTATAACCCTTTCCAGCTTTATGCAAGTCAACAATTCTTAATCGTAGGTCTTCTGAGAGCACTTTTGTGCGAGGCATCATTCACATCAGGCGATGCTTCTTGTGAAAAGCAAACCCAGAACTGGTGTGTGTTTTTTATAGGGCAGGGCAGCTGTAACCAACACCTCCAATCTAATCTCATTGATTTGACTCCAGTTGGCTGATATCTCACTCCAATTAGCTCTTGGAGATGTCCTTAGTCTAGGGGTTCACATATTTTTCCCACTTGCACTGTGAATGTTTACATGGTGTGTTCAATAAAAACATGGCAACATTTCATTCTTTGTGTGTTATTAGTTTAAGCAGACTGTGACTGTCTATTGTTGTGAGTTAGATGATGATCAGATCACATTTTATGACCAATTTGTGCAGAAATCCATATCATTCCAAAGGGTTCACATACTTTTTCTTGTAACTGTATATCATATGGCAAAGTGGAGATCACATACAGCAGGAGGACCAACTTTGTCCATGCTGCTTTAGTGGCATTTAGATGACATTTCCCATAAGTATTTCTTGAATTATGTTGTCCAACAACCTCTGCAGAGCCTAAAAAAAGCTACTGCATAGCAGAAGTACAATTTCAGGGTCTTCCAGAGATCTTACAAATGTTTTGTGTTCAAAATAAATTACAAACAAAAGCAAGATTAAAGAATGGATCATAGTACATGATATAGTAAAAGTGTAGACAAAAATGGAAGTTTAAAAAGTAACACAGTCACAAAATACAAGCATTAAACTTACTAGGACAGTTCCACATAAGAATTATTTAAAAAATAATATTTTAAGAAAGAAAAAAATGTCAGTTAGGCATGTTCCTTTATTTCCTACCTGTTACTGGTAGTTCAATTTGGAACAATGCTACCCAAAATGGTATATTTCTGAGCAATGCTAGTCACTCATCAGCCCTCATTGTCATCTTGATTAAAGGAACACCATAGGTTCAGGAACACAAATATGTATCGTGTTAAAAACCACCATCTAGCCCCCCTGGCTCCCCCTTCCACCCTAAAGACACCAAAAGTGTTATTCTGAGGCAATCACAATGCTTTCACACAGGAACGCATTGGATTGGCTCAGGTTGTTAAGGAGGCAGACCAAGGGCAGAGCCAGAACAAGTCAAACAGAGCCCTGGCCAATCACCACTTCCTCGTAGAGATGCATTGATTCAATGCAGCTCTATGAGTAAAGCTCAGTGTTGGCATGCAGAGGGTGGAGACACTGAATGGCAGTACTGCACACTGTGCAGCACTACCCCAGAAAGCACCTCTAGTAGCCATATACGGGGTGACTAGTGGAGTTAACACTAGGTTGTAATGTAAACACTGCCTTTTGTCTGAAAAGACAGTGTTTACTGCAAAAAGTCTGAAGGAAATGATTCTAATCACCAGAACAAATTCAATAAACTGTAGTTTTTCTGGTGACTGTAGTGTCCATTTAAGAAGCCCTGTGTGCTTATTACAGACTCAGACACTTAAATGAAATTATAAGACATATTATAATTATCATTATTAATACAAAAAACATTCACTTATAGGGAGTAAGGACGGTATAATTTTATTCAAATTATTATAATGCTAATAAAACAAGATAAATACAGCATGTAACAGGATATATCCGAGTGAATGCTGAAGAAGAATGCAGCAATTAAATATTTACTTAATATAAGATGTAGGATATTTTTGGATTATGATGCACACATGCACTGATTAAACAGCTAATTGTGTATGGACCAAGGAATAGACACGTGTGGCTAACACACCCAGGCAAGTTACTGGCCTGAAATCATGGCTACCACAATTCTCTTAGTTGAAAATAAAATGACTTACAGGGACTCAGTGCCATATTTGCCACTGGACCTATTTTGCAGTAAGTCCACTTGTTAAAGATCATGCAAGATGGCAATAAGGCCAGAGGATAAATTGGTGAGATGATGACCAGGCATGAGAATGATATATAAGTATATGTTAAAACAGTATTTATTTCAATGGCATAAGTATTTTGTTCTAAGCCCAAACACGACACCAGATGGCTAATACTAGCCTGTATGGAATACATTCCCTGAATGAAAGTGCTGTAAGATTTTCCGCTTTGTGACTGTCCTTCACATTTTTCATTCCTGGCCCTCACGCTGCCTTGTTAGGACTTATATTGCATCTTATACCCATGGTAACAGAAGACCTTTCACTGCTTATCGGAGATTATATGAATGTTATAACAAAACATTAAGCATTAATGTGAAAATGGAGTTTTCGTATATATGTATCTTTTCGTATGATTTGTATCATTACAACCAGGCACTGTTGTGTTCCATGTCACAAAAGGGCCTATTTATAAATTACAGGTGGACTGCCTGGAGTAAATGGGTGTGGAAGGCACTGAATATTGTCACTGCGGAGAGATGAATGAGGATTTGTTTATACACATACAAATATATCATCATACACAGCGGTCACTGCCCAACACACTCTTTTACTACTCTAGAGCATACCTTCCAAGAGTCTCTATTTTGGGGAATAGACCATATTTTGGGCCATAATCCCTCTGCCCCTCTATTATGTCCTAATGCCCCTCTTTTGTTGAAGCTCAGCATTCTTGGTGTATCTGAATTTATAACTGCAAATACAGTAATACTATTCACAGTAAGGGTGTTTTTAAACTACAATAAATGTGTTTAGAAATTAGTCAGTGTAAATAAGTCACATAATTCTTTTTCTAAATTACATTTTAGTTGCATAAATTGTCATTAGTAAGTCACTTGAAATTACTCGAAACAGCCCTGACTCTGGCCACACCCCCACTCACACCCATAAAATGTAAGAGCTCCAGGTTTTAAATGTAAAATGTTGAGAGATATGGAAAAGAGCACTAGATTACTCTATTCAAAACTGTCAAAGGGTTTGGCCCAGAGCAGAGGTGACCATAAGGTGACCCTGAGAGGCTGCCTATGGTCCATGGATTAGACAAGTTCCCAGGAACCATAGGTTTACTTGGCCCCATTCACCATCCTTATGTGAAGAATGAAGGGAAGGCCCTGTTGGATCTTTAATTGGAGCTGTCACTTTCGTCTGTCTTTGCATATTTTGCAAACTGACAGATCCAATGTGAGTCCGGTGGTCGCGGAGTCCAGAGAGGTAAGTTTTATTTACCTCAGGCTATCCCTCTTGGCCGCTGCCATCTTTATCCTGCTGTAAAACAGCAATATTAAAGGAGGCCCATTTGGCGCACATCCGTCGCTTGTTATGTAATTGTAGAGTGTGATGTTAAATAATACACATTTTTTCAGTTCAATAGCTCTGTTGTCCCGTCCTCTGGATATCAGTATTCATTGGAACTGAACCACGTCCAGAAAACGGTTGCTGTTATGAAATGGCACTGTTCTTATCATACAATGTAGGTCATCTCTATTGCTTTACAGTGTCCAAACCTGGCCCATAAATTATTGCTTATTACATGGTTATCATCAAAATAATAAATTGGGCAGATGTTGTTGTTTATGATCAAGTCATAAAAGAGAAACTCCTGGTATATTCTGGCAATGTGCATAGGAACACCACCACCCACAGCACTATGGAAACCTACCCGTCCTACACAGGGGAGACAAGTTATATAGTCCCAGATTCTGTTTTATGTGTAAATACACCGATTTATATAAATTTAGCATGACATGATTATAACTTTGGGCTCTCCTCCAGTTAGCCTTCATGTTCTACTCTAGCTGGCAGTAACACACACAAAATATAATCATGCAAAAAGAACAAGATTAAATAAAAACATAAAAAAACACAAAATATAGTGAAGTAGATAAAGAACCGCCTCTGGGGACAGATGTAGGTAATCAACACTTACAAAGTTATGCAGTACTAGAAAGATATATGTAATGACAGTGGGTGACCATCTGGCTGATCAAGGAGGGGAAGGGGGAGCTGCCCCGGGCCCAGTTACTACTGGAGGGCCCAAAGCAGCTGCCCCATAGGCCCGCTGCCCTGATCTATTTATCCCTCCCCATGTGCCCGTCGGTGCAGCGGCAGCCTGTACACTAAGGAGGCCCACCGGGTGGCCCATGTACCTAGAGCCACATGGTGGGCTTTAACAGCGCGACCGGGCCCCATGCTTTTCAGCAGCCAGCTGGGAGGAAGTGACTGCTGTGAGTAACTTCCTCCCACAGAGAGATAAACTGCGCAGGAGGGAGGAGCAGGCAGTGAGGAGGAAGGCACCACACTGACACCACACTGAACCCCAAGGAAGCCACCCTTCAGCAAAAGGTAGGAAACTGGAGGGTGGGTTTAAAAATGAAAATTGTATGTGTGTGTCAGCATATCTGTGTGTGTCACTATACCTGTCAGTGTATGTATCTGTGTCAGTATGCCTGTCAGTGTATGTGTCAGTATGTCTGTTTGTGTGTGTGTCAGTTTCTCTGTCCTTGTGTGTGAGTATGTCTGCCAGTGTATGTATCTGTGTGCCTCAGTATTCTTAACGGTGTATGTGTCAGTATGCCTGTCTGTGTGTGTCAGTATGTTTGTCAGTGTATGTAGCTGTGTCAGTTTGTCTATCAGTTTATGTATCTATATGTGTCACTATGCCTTTCAGTGTATGTGTCTGTGTGTGTCAGTATGTCTGTCAGTATATGTGCCTGTGTGTGTCAGTATGTCTGTCAGTATATGTGTCTGTGTATGTCAGTATATGTGCCTGTGTGTGTCAGTATGTCTGTCAGTATATGTGTCTGTGTGTGTGTCAGTATGTCTATCATTATATGTGCCTGTGTGTGTCAGTATGTTTGTCTGTGTGTGTCAGTATGTCTATTAGTGTATGTATCTGTGTCTGTGTACACGGCTCAGTGCTACATACAATCATGCAAGCATGGGAAAATGGTAGAGCCCCAGCTGTCAAAGAATTATTGAAGTTGCACAACTGATAGGGATTTACCTTTTGCCCACCCTTGAGATTGGGGGGGGGGGGCCAAAAAAATTCTTGCACCAGGGCTTTTTCTACTTTAGTTCCGCCATTGCCTTGGGGGTGGAGGGTGTAATTGCATGCCAGGGAGTGGGGGGAGCCGGCTTGTCTGCCTCCTGCCCACAGACTGTGGATCTTGTAAAATGTGATATAAAAGTCTCAGTTCGTGTATTTAGATTATATGGTTCAGTAACCGAACAGCAGCACGAACCGGAGACCACCTTGGAGCTTGTTAAGCCTAATTGCTACTTTGTAACACCTCAGTGTTCTAAGTGTTCGTCTGGGTGGCTGCAATTCCTATAGAAGACCACGAGGTGGTGGCCATCTTGTTCGCATGAAAGCAGGCAGTGATATTTGGGAATGAATCTCATGGAATTGAAAACGGACACAGTTCCATGCTTGGAGATAATTGGATTAGATTAGGACAGTTCCTGATCCAATTATCTCCCAGGCACAGAGGAGGGATTATCTGATTTTGTATGGGAGTGTCCTGGGCCTGAGAACCAATGTAATTGTGTATTTGTTTCTACTGTGGTTTACTCTCAGGTCCAGGGGGGTGCCCCTTGCATGGGGACATGCATATAAGGCCAGTTGTGGCTGCCATTAAATTATTCCAGCTTGTACTCCTAGAACTATGTGTCGTCTGATTACTTGGAGGGAAAAGGGCTATTCTTTAATCACTGTTCCAGTGTGGAGGATTCAACATAGAAAGTCCTTGTAAGGACTAGAGCTCCCAGGACTGAGTGTTGTTCAGTGCCTGGGGGTGTCTAGAGCGAATTCCTCATTCGGCTCCAGGAGGGAGCGGTTACAGGGCCCCAGTCAAGCCACGGCGACTGTGGGCAGAAGTGCTGCGGTTTGTTCCCTGTTCCAGCTAGGAAGTGGTCCTTTGGTGAAGGTACCTAGTCAGGGTACAGGGAGCTCCATTACAGGGGGGACTTTCTTTGGGGTGTCCTGCTAGGAACATCATGCCTGATCAATGTTTTCCTTATAGTAGACTCATGAACAGAGAAGTTAGTTTCAATGATTTCTTCAAGTGAGATGTGCCATGTCAGTCATGTTGGCTGGACAGCCACTTCTAGGGATAGTAGCCATAGTACTAAAATGTTTCCATTTACAGACAGGTTGTATAACAGTGGACAGATGAATATTTAGGGTCTTTGAGATAACGTTGTAACACTTTCTAGCTTTATGCAGCACAATACTTGGTCACAGGTCTTCTGAGAGCCCTATTTTGTGAGGCATGGTTCACATCAAAAGACACTTTTTGTAAATACCAAATTCAACACATTTGAATGCTTTTTATAAGTCAAAGTAGCTCTAACCCACACCACCAATCTTACTTCATTAATTGGACACCAGGTTTCCAGTTTCAAACTCTAATTAACTTTTGTTTAACTCAACCTATGGTTTCACATACTTTTTCTAACCTATATTGTGAATATTTGAATATTATATTCAATATGTACAAGAACGATACAATAATTTGCGTGTTAGTAGTAAAAACAGATTGTGTTTGTTGATTACTGTAACTTAGATGAACATTCAGCCAGATTTTATGATAAATTCATACAGAAATTAAGTCATTTCTAAAAAGTTCACTTTTCTTGCCACTATACACATTCACTGGTAGTGTGGATACTGCAGCTATCTGTGACAGTGGATGGGTTTTACCCACTAAATATTGTGTCTATTTTGTGAAAAGATTGAGGTGCACTTCCCCAAGCAATCCTTAGATTCTCTATGCTTTCCTATGGATGCTGGCGTCTTCTCACTGTGAAAATCACAGTGAGAAGGAAAACGAGTTTGTTTTCCTGGCACTATAGTGGTCCTTTAAGTAGCCAGCTAACACCCGACCTCTCCATTGGGATGCCCATCTAACACAACTGGGGAAAAAGGAAGCTCCTATTATAGCTTCCAACATGTAATACTAAGAACTACTAGGAGAGCTTATGTCTATGAATAGGCTAGTACATCCACTTGCTATCCTTTATAAGGTGCTGGATGGCTATAGAGAAGTCTACAAAAGGAGGATGAACAACCACTATGTCTCCTGATACTGCCACTATAGCTGTGGTTTCAGATGTCCGAGTGCAATCAGTGGGCTGGCTCAGAGACAACCATAATCTGTCTGCACTGACTGGTAGCTCGGCAGAGTATTTGTAAAGCAACTCGAGAGTTGGGTCAGATTACCAAATGCCAAGCAAATTCGTAGTGCATAAATCGCAAGAAGCAGTTAGACAATGCACCAATATAAAAATAGTACAGGTGAACAGAAGAGAAGTAGGGCTCTTATACTTAACCAGTATTCAATAAAAGATAGGTGAGGGCACACTACATAAAACAAAAAACACTTATGATTACCCTAGAATGTAAAAAATATTCTGTGCTTGATTCACTCCTGCATATAAAATATAAAAACAGGAAAAAACACACATAGGGTAATAACGTAAAAACCTTAGAATTTTAAAAAACCAATAAGGTTTCACTCACATGGTCATGAGCCACTTAAAATAAGCTGGCTCAGACTAAAAGCGTAGAAAATATCCGTCTGTGGTACTTTACACACCAGGCTGTGCCCCCTTCGTGGTCTTATTAGTAACTTAAAGTATTCCAGGACGCAAAGAATAAAATAAAACTTTATTGGACACACTATAACTTTGGGGTAAAAACAAAACACTCGGTACAATATAGTAAAAGTCCATCTCCCTATTTAAAATAATTACTAATAAGACCACGAAGGGGGAACAGTCTGGTGTGTAAAGTACCACAGACGGATATTTTCTACGCTTTTAGTCTGAGCCAGCTTATTTTAAGTGGCTCATGACCATGTGAATGAAACCTTATTTGTTTTTTAAAATTCTAAGGTTTTTACGTTATTACCCTATGTGTGTTTTTTCCTGTTTTTATATTTTATATGCAGGAGTGAATCAAGCACGGAGTATATTTTACATTCAAGGGTAATCATAAGTGTTATTTTATGTAGTGTGCCCTCACCTATCTTTTATTGTATACTGGTTATTTGTATGTGTTTTGAGTGACGCACATAAGGTGATAGGAGCACCTCTTTTATATTTGTTTATTTTATTATATTAGCCTTATATTCTATTTATCTTACCTCTTATACTTAACGTTGTATATGTTGGATGTGGGAAAAAGTACCCGTCATAAATATGTATGATGGTAAGTGTCAACCACAGCCAAAACTGTCCCTCTGCACTGTCCTTCCTCAGTTTCCTGATCACTCAATGCTGGCACGGTAGGGTCACAAATGATAGCCTAGTATCCACACAGACATTGCAGAATACAGTATGTGAGATGGTTACACCAGCTGCATTCTCATTGGAAGCTGATGGAAGAACCCATGGTCTTCCACTCCAGATTTCTAGAGTGGGAAGATAATTGCAGCAGGGAAGCCGAGAAGGGTAATAAATATTTGACTTATGATACTTTGTGTCCAGGAAAGAGTTGGATAGCTACAGATAAGATCTTGTGCTCAGGAGTTTATAAAAAAAATACAGCTACCTTCCTTGGCTGTGCCCAAACTCCCCAATATGTCATCTTTCATTTTTACTACTGCTTTTTTTTGCCTATTCTAATCCATGCTCTATGTATTTCCATATATGTCTGTAAAAAAATAAAACAAAACACACTGACAGCACACAAATAATGTATACCTTGTGTATATCGGCTGCAGCATACTGTGCTGAGTAACAAAAAAAAATAAAGATGGTAGGTTAAAATACATGTTTGGGGTTATTCAGTCTCGCAAGCAGAGCTAGAGCAAGTTCTAAACGTCTTAATATATGTTTGCTAGCTTTTAATATAGAGTCATCCAATCGAGGCAGGTTTGAACCATGTCCAACTGGCAGGCACTCTGCATGTCAGTATAATGTGCGCATATTGATAAACCAACTTCCAGCTGAATAGTTCGTTAATTTCCAGGTTAGTTAATAACAATAAATTAATGGGCATCTTCAACAATACTTACTGTAAAAATACGAACTTCCAGTATATGCAAAATAATTTTATAATATCCAAAGCCATACATGGAACATTTAGGCTCTTGAACATTCATCAGCAGGAGGTGGGAAGTAAATGGACTTTGAGCATTTCACATCCTTATGTCTAGGATTTTGCCCAAGAATGTCTCAGAATATGGTGCATTGCATTGCATAAACTGCTCCCAGAACGACTCCTCTCTTTCCTGCATACACGTATCCAGAAAGTGTAAAGCTAAATCGAGGAATGTGATATTTTACATACATATATCCATTAGTAAGAGCTTTTTCAGATAAGAAAAGACTAGTATTGTTTTGCTTTGGTGGTTAGGCTATTTCACACTGTAAAATTTCAGAACATTGAAAGACTAAAAAAATTACACAGCATTGGAACCCCCTGGTAGGTTTCAGTACCCAGGATTTCACACGTCAAGAGCTACTTTGCAAATCTTGCATGAAATTGATTGAATAAAACTTAGCTTTTATTCTGATGAAAGTCTGTGATACAGACTGAAACGTTGATTTTTATTTTGAGCTAATAAAAGCTAAGTTTTATTCATTCAACTTGGAAGTCCCTGGAGTGCTATCTTGTACTTTTGGCTGTATCTGTTTGCTGATAAGCACCGGGCAAGTACATCAAGGAAGGTGGAGTGCATTATTATTTTTGTTTTATATATATATATGTATTATATAATATAACCATATAATACGGAGCAGAAGAACACAACAAAAAACATTGCAATCCTTTGAATTAAAATGTGACAATTTATAGTGTGTTTTATTCTTCATTCTATGCACTGCTGTATACCCTATAGTGCTGTATAAAGTACATGACTTTATAAAACTTGTGGGCAATCCAAAAATATTGCTTTCTGTTAGCTTGTGAATTTAGCTATTCTTATGGCATTAAATATATTCTAATCATAGAGGGGGACGAGAAGTTTGTGGGTGACGCCCAAGATGTGGGGCTCTTTAGCCCTGTATCTCTACAGCTGGTGGAGGGGCTGGAGGATATTAGCGTTTTTAAAAATATATATTTTCCACTTTACATTAGACAGCTACATCTGTAATGAAAAGAAACATCAGTAGTACAGAGCATCACCAAACTGCTTAGGGGAAATAAGTAGTGCCCCCCCTCATAGACTGCTAATAGGGGGTACTGGTTAACGGAACTCTGCTGCACACCATGCTATTAGTTAGGTAGTGTGTCAAGATCTCACTGAATACATGGCTGTGCACCATGTGCATGTACTGGCTAAGCCTTCGTTGAGATCCTTTAGCATTAGCCGCATGTTGTTCATTGATACAGAGGAAGGGACATAATGTAGACATATGCCCACCTCTCTCTTGGTGTAGGGGTCAACAAATTGTCTTTCAGACTCAAGCCCCAGCTGTTCGTAAAGCCTAGCAATGTCCTGGTTCTAATGTTTAAAAACATTTATTCGTGGGTATCTGATAGTGTCAGAGCGTTGTCACAGGTTACCATGTCAACACTATGATACTATTGGTGATAGTTCAAATGCACTTGAGAGCAGTGGTGGCTGGTGAAGTTAAGAAATCGTTGGGTGTTGTACCTCCTGTCTTTTTGGCTTCTACCCATTTATCCCCATGAGATCCAATGCCCTGTCCATAACCAGCTGCATCTTCAGTCATCAATAAAGAGGTGCATGTAAACTGCAGATCAAATCATGACAGACACATGTTTTTTTTCTAACACAGACTTATCAGTTGTCCTTACAGTGCCCATATATTTGATTTATATATATTTTTGAGGCTGCCACGCCACCTGCCTCTATGGATCAACCTCCACTGAGCTAGAAGGATATGCCAAGCCTGCACCCGACAAAGGTGCAGACCAGAAGCCGGTGCCGTAGGTGAAAGGACATAGGGAGGTCCGTAAACCCTGAACACTACATATACTAGAAGGAATTTCACAAAAAAAGATGACCAAATAGAAAAAGGGGATAGGTGCATGTGGAAAAAACATTAGAGGATGGAGGATACACCAAGGCCAATAGGGTACAAACAATCAATGTATGTATTCTGAAAAGCTTTTGAATACTTTACACAATTCACAGAGAGGTTTCCACTCTGAGGTCTGTAAGCAGCACACTACTGGAAGAGGCTAGTTATAGAAAATAAACTAAAGGAGATCCGAGAGAGCTTACAGAAATGCTTTTATCCCTTACCCTCCCCCTAAAAATACATATTTAAAAAAAAAAAAACTATTTACTGGGAAGTCCACGCTTTCCTGTTGCCACAAGACTCGTGGAAACGTGTTACAGGAATGTCTTAATATTACATTTGCCCTTCGTGAAGTGTTTTATGAATGTTTTAAGCATTGTTTGTTGAAGGGAGGATATGGCCAACCCACATACTGCAGAATACCCTACAATGTGTATAATACCTGAGATTAATGGATTATGTCAACCAAGGAGATTTATTTTACATTATTTATTCTTCACCATAACCACTGAATTAAATTCAATGTAAAAAAGGCAGGACTTTTCTTGGAGGTCAAAGGACAAACTTCAATATGTGTTACGATGAAAGAACAATCGTATAAAATGATGTTCGGGTGGTATACCACCCCGGTCAAGCTCTATCACATGCATAAAACCCAGACTGACCAATGCTGGAGACTATGCGGATATAGAGGCACGTACGGACATACCGGTATGTGGTGGGAATGCCCCTGGGTCCAAACACTCTGGGGGAAAATTAACAAATTAATAACAAACGATAGCTGGCCCATGGGTATTCTTACTATCTAGACCACTCGATGGATGGACAACATCAAATCATAAACTGATCAAAAAAATTTCCCTGGCTAGAAGGAAGGAAAATAGGTCAAACTTGGCCCAAGTCTGAGTTACCATCCGTTGACATGGTGCTATTAAAACTTAAAGATTCTTATTTAATGGACAAGTTGACTGCCCAAGTAAGGGACGCTTAAAAACATTCACCAAGGTATGGGAGCCATGGGAGTCTTTCCTCAACGTGTCAACTTAGACTAGCTAAATAGGTCCGACTGTACCTGGGTGGGGGATGCCTGGGTGCTATCCCTTACCTCTTTTTCGTGGGGAACCCCTTTCTTTCTTATGATTTTCTCTTCTTCTTCATAATTTCTCATTCTATCATCTGTTCCTCTCTTTTTCTTCTGTCTCACTCTCCTAAAGTCCGGATGGGCATAACCCCAGAATGGAACAAAAATTAATTGAGGAGTGGATCTCCTAAATATGACACACTAAGACAACCACCATGTATTCAGCAGAAGGGTCTAGCGGCATAGCCTCGCAACAAATGCATACAAGTTCAAATGCAATATCACTGACTTGAATGTATTTACAATACATTTTGTGTTTTTTTTTTCCCTTTACTCTACAAACAGATTTGTATTTTTCCTGTATCCTGTGTAACTGCACTGTTATTACTCAACCCTCTGTAGCTAATATCATAATGTCACCAAATGTTGATATGCACATGCTCTATCCACGGTTATTGTATACTGCATTGTCTACTGCTCAAGTATAAATAAAGAATCAAGAAACAAAAAGACTTCTCCACATAAAGACTCAACTTGAAGAAGAATAATAGATATTATAAAAAAAAAAAAAAAAAAAAAAAATCTGTTTAGTAGATATTCCCCTACTGTTAACATGTATTAATTTAATTATGCATTGTTTCATTGGCGGTGTCAGCGGAGGTTCGTCGATAGGGGCAGCTCCTCATCAGTATTTCTTGCGATAACAAATTTTTTTTTTCAAAATAAAATAAATAAACTTCATAATTCTTTTTTTCGGTTGGGTTTTCATTGTTTTGTGTAAACTTAAACCTTGAATATGTGTCTGTGTGATAAAATGAGTTCTGTCCCTTTAAATATTAGTACTGCAGTACTCCTTGTTTTTCCCCTCTGCGGTTGCTAGGTACAGTAAAAAAAGAAGCCATATCAGATTGTTGGGCAACATCCCAAAAATCTGATTACACTCTATGGGAAGTGTTCTACTTCACCGTCACAGCCACTATTATTTACTAGGCAGGACAAAAATAACCCTTACAAGATAGGCCAGACTACTAGCCTGCCTCCTGGGCTCTGATTGGTGGTTTGCACCAGGGGGTGGCTTTAGAACTCCACTTAGCCTGATGTATTTATATGCCTAAACGTTTATGTCTGCTCCAAGCTCCCCAACTCTTCCCCCCAGGAACCAAGCACAGCTCGAGCTCATTCCCCCGCAGGATCACAGAAAAGCTCCATCTCATTCCCTCCAAGCTCCTTTCCCCCAGGAACCCAGCACAGCTCCAGCTCATTCACTCCAAGCTCCTTCCCCCCCTGAACCCAACACAGCTCCAGCTCATTCCCCACAGGATCCCAGAAAAGCTCCAGCTCATTCCCTCCAAGCTCCTTCCCCCCAGAATCCCAACACAGCCCCAGCTCCTTCCCCCCAGGAACCAAGCACAGCTCGAGCTCATTCCCCGCAGGATCCCAGAAAAGCTCCATCTCGTTCCCTACAAGCTCCTTTCCCCCAGGAACCCAGCACAGCCCCAGCTCCTTCCCCCCCAGAACCAAACACAGCTCCAGCTAATTCCCCGCAGGATCCTAGAAAAGCTCCATCTCGTTCCCTACAAGCTCCTTCCCCCCAGGAACCAAGCACAGCTCCAGCTCACTCCCCAGGATCCCAGAAAAGCTCCAGCTTGTTCCCTCCAAGCTCCTTTCCCCCAGGAACCTAGCACAGGTCCTTCCCTTTCAGCACCTTCTACTCCCAGAACTCCAACACAGCTCCACTGCTCCTTTCACCCCCAGCACAGCTTTAGCTCCTTTCCAGCTCCCTCCACCCCAGGACCCTGGAGTCGGCTGGGGAAAGCAAAGAGAGACATATTGGTGGCAGAAACCTCATGTTACAGCCATGTCTGCTGCCATTACTGGGACTGTGAGCTTGGTCAGCCGGCACTAGGATTCCCCCCTGCTGGCTTGCTCTCTCCCTTTGTAATTCAGGCAGACACAGACATGGTTCTTCAGCTCTCCCCTGCACACTAATGGCAGACACGGACATGGTTCTCCAGCTCTCCCCTGCACACTAATGGCAGACACAGACATGGTTCTCCAGCTCTCCCTCCAGCTCTCCCCTGCACACCAATGGCAGACACAGACATGGTTCTCCAGCTCTCCCCTGCACACTAATGGCAAACACGGACATGATACTTCAGCACTTCCCTGCACACTAATGGCAGACACGGACGTGGTACTTCAGCTCTTCCCTGTACACTAATGGCAGACACGGACATGGTTCTCCAGCTCTCCCCTGCACACTAATAGCAGACACGGACATGGTTCTCCAGCTCTCCCCTGCACACTAATAGCAGACACGGACATGGTTCTCCAGCTCTCCCCTGCACACTAATAGCAGACACGGACATGGTTTTTCAGCTCTCCCCTGCACACCAATGGCAGACACAGACATGGTTCTCCAGCTCTCCCCTGCACACTAATGGCAGACATGGACATGGTTCTCCAGCTCTCCCCTGCACACTAATGTAAGACAGACACCCAATGTTTGATGTGGTGCCTGCCTTACTTCAGAGTTATAGGCCTCCGTTGCAGGCCTGTGCCCAGCACCCCAGCCACATAGTAACCGGCACCACTATAACAGCAGGTACCATTCACCAGGCTGCTCATTTATTTTATTTATTTAATGTGTATCATGAAGAAATAATATTTTATACCTCAAAATCATAAATCATTATTTTTTTCTTTTAGCTAGAGAAATTCCACCATTTCTGCTAGAGAAATTCCACGACTTTCTGTCGCTATTCAATCACAGAATTCCCAATGCAGCTCAGTGAGAAATCTGTGCAAAGCAGGTGCTCTGGGCAATTGCTCCACCGAGCAAACCAAACCAAACCAGGAAACAAAAAGGACCTGTTATCTGCTTGAAAGCCAGGGGGTGTACCCAGGTTAATTATTAGACGTGTTAATTTCTATTGAAATCTGCACTTTATGTAAAATTTTAAAGAGGAAACACTCTTCATACATAAAGCACTTCAGCAAACTGAAGTGTTTCAGGAGTCTTGAGTGTCCCTTTAAAGTAACTGTAGCTAGGGAGACTGCAATTTGTGTGGATCTACACAGAACTATCAGAAGTTTAATGAGAATTGTATTTGCTAGTCAAGCAAGGGCAAACTATTAAGAATTCAAAGTGAATTTCCAATTTCAGGACAAAATTGGTGAATCGGTTTTTAGTTCAGCTACATTTTTAAATTCACTTTGAATTGCAGATAGTGATGTCCCGAACGGTTCACCGCGGACGGCGAGCATATGCACTGTTCGGTCCGCCCCCTATGTCATCATTGAGTAAACTTTGACCCTGTACCTCACAGTCAGCAGACACATTCCAGCCAATCAGCAGCAGACCCTCCCTCCCAGACCCTCTCACCTCCTGGACAGTATCCATTTTACATTCATTGTGAAGCTGCATTCTTAGTGAGCTGTCCAGTAGGTGGGAGTGTCTGGGAGGGAGGGTCTGCTGCTGATTGGCTGGAATGTGTCTGCTGACTGTGAGGTACAGGGTCAAAGTTTACTCAATGATGACATAGGGGGCAGACCGAACAGCGCATATGTTCGCCGTCCGTGGCGAACCGTTCGGCGAACCGTTCGGGACATCACTAATTGCAGACAATACATTATGATCTGTGCCCAAGAGACAGGTTAGAAGCTCGTTATTGGTTTCTTTTCTTTTTTTCATCCATTGTCTGAACAGTTTGCACACCTTAATAAAACATGATTTTAGTGTATACAAAAAAATTTATTTCTGGAAAGTGCATATTGAGAATTTAAGCAAACAAACCAAGGCGTAAATAAAACACAAACAATACACAATGATCAACAAAGTGATAGATTTTGTTTTTGGCACAAATAAATCAGGTTTAGAACATAAGCAGTGACTGGTTCATATAAAACAGATACACATGTGGTCTCCATACTGACCGTTGTTTGGCAGCCAACCAGGAAATGATCTCGCTATAAGGGAAGATTTTCACTGTATCATTAAATATTAATGCGGATCTATTAAGTGCCAAAGGTATTTGTTGTATCTCTCTGGATTAGTAGTGTGTTTTTAAGTGTTGGAGTAAAAGTATCATTGATACAGGAATCAGCTGATTTAAACACCAGGGGCTTAACTTGGCTTGGCATTAGGGTCTTTATTTTAGCACTCAAAAGGGCTTTTTTTGTTCGTTTAAAACATTTTTATTTGTATTCTGAGAACTCAAAGGGTTAAAACTCAGTTGTCTCTTTAAATATTGTGCAAATGAGAGGTTTTTTTTTATTTAATTTTTTATTAAAGCGCTAATAAGTATAAATTCATGGATATAAACAGGTCTCTGCTAAAAATGTAACCAATACTTTTGAGCTTTATATATATATATTTTTTAATATTTTTTTACTCTGGGTAATTTATCTGTGAAACTCTCCCCACTTGTGCACATTACATATAATCCCATGTGTCAAGGCAGTTCTGGTGCTCACCTTTTGAGTACCCAAAGGCTGTACAAAGCCTCGCAACGCAATGTACTGCTCTCCTCAATGGCACTTGCGGGGTTAAAGCTGTTGCTTTGGAAGAATTTGCATCACAAATGTTTAACTCTTCGAAAGGCAGCTGGAGGAGCACTGCATTGCTTTGGACTGCAATGCTTTGTTCACTCCACAAGGGACTCAAACGGTTAATAATATACACATTTATCTTTCATCAGTTCATACTGCATAAGGTATCAAATAAGAAATATCAGGCTTTGTGTTTGCTGGGGTGCATCATAACCAAAAAGGGCCATGCAGTCGTTCCTAAAATTCCAACTGCCAGAGAATAAAAAAATAAATTGATAATACATGCAACGTAATAGCTACAGGATATAATGCCCATCCAAGCATTAACTGAGGGACAGCTACGCTGATATATGCGTATCCCCATGGACTATATTAATTTATCATCCTTAAAGCAGACAGCTGGGCCTCATCTCATGTCTAATAAATAAGCCTGGCAACATTAAAATGTTCCTTTTCCCGCTGAGATAAGACTTTTTCTCTTTTGCTTGTAATTTACCATTGGGATTTTTTATTTTGTCTCTGAATACTAACGTTGTATGGGATAACTGCCCAGTGATCACGAGATCAGTGGTAGCTTCAGGAAGCCTCGACAAGGTTCTACCAAGCTGCATTTTACTGCACGAAACAAAATCCATGCAGATGTGCATTTTGTACAACAGCTATGGGCCACAGCAACACATCTGGAAACAACAATAATGGATGGGATGTCAAATGCATTGGGTATGAGGCACGTAATAACCACAAAAACTGTGAATATTAAGAACGTAAACAAAAAATAAATAAAAAAATGAAAAATGAAACATTTTAAAAAGGTGCTTTCACAGTAACTATAGCATTTTATGTATGAGATTACGATACATAAACAAAGACACAGAGAGATTAAAATTAAAGCCATGGAGTGAGTAATTCAGCTCTTGGTGAGAGAATGGATCACTGTTCTTCATACACACAGAATACCTGAAGACTGAATGTGACTGAGATTCCACAATCCACAGCCACAATGTTCACAGCAATGGTTCTAAATTCCGAGGCAAAACAATTATAAGACAGTGTTTCCAAGGATCTTCAGTTGTGTTTTTCCAATTCCTCATCACATTTTTTTTTAAAATAATATTAGTAATCTTAAAAAACACAACATAAATGTAAGAAAATAAGGTTGTGCAGGAGACGAGGAGATCCACAGTTGTTATGTAATAAAGTCTGTCCGTGTTTGGAATGGCAAGTCTGCAAGGCACAAGTGGAGGCTGCAATATTTTGGGGCCAGACACATTGTCACAAGGTGGCCAGAGGCAAAACCTCGAACTGAACGATGGCACAGCCTGTCCTGCTTTTCCGGAGCCCAGTTCCGGACACACATTCCAAGGCGCCTCAGGATCAGGAAAATGCCAGGAGGAACATCAGTACAACGTTGATAAAGATGAGAAACAGCAAAATGACAAAGACAACCACACGTTGGGTCTCAGGATTCATGTTGCATCGGAGGATAGTATGAAGCGTGCTCAATTTTTGCTTGGCTCGATCCGATCCCTTAGCCATGTCTTGGCCTGAGCAAGCAGGTCTCCGTGAGAAAACGCTGAATGATCTCTTTAGCTGCACAATCTGCACACAATAGAGTTGTCCTGCAGCTGTCAGAAAGAGAAAGCTATCTGCTTTGCATAGTCTTCACCGAGGCACTGCACATGTGCCACGACCATTACCTTTTATTCCTAGGATCAGCAGATAACACCAGAGATTTATATCCCTTAAGAGCTATGCAGCAAGGAATCAGCAATCCATAGATGCTTTATAGCCTTAGCAGGATGATGGAGGCATTTAATTCCCCTTACGAGAAAAGCCTTGCATTCTGTAACAGCAGTAGTTGCTGAGATATTGGCTTTTTCATCAGCCAATCAGGTGTTTGCAGACTGTGGTATCTAGGATACACGCCGTCTTATAAGGACAAAAAGAAAAGGGGGTTTTGTTTGACACATTTACAAAGGCTCACCAATGGTTTGATGTATATTTTTATGTGTCTACATCTATTTAAAGCGTCTAATCATTAAATTCTAAGAATGACAGCAAAAAAATAAATGGATGGTAGACAGCAGATAGCAGCCGTGGTTTTTGGAGAAACACTGCCAAGGCAGAAAGAATATCTTGCAATATGTAAAGTCAATGTAAATGCAGGTAATCACAGATGCATATTGCAACATTGCAACACACATGCATAATGTAACATATGCAGCATGCATTCAGTGAAAATGCAAACATGAAAATCTGAATAAAAAAAAATAAAAAATAATAAATATATATATATTAACCCAAATCTGTTTATTACACTTCTAACAGAAAATGGATTCAACAAGTTATTCTGTCCAACTACCTCGTGGGAATTGATAAATAGTAACAAAGAAAATGCAATAACATTTTATTTGCCGTTATTAATATATATTTGTCGTTAATAAGGTTTTGCAATCATTCACGCCCCTTAACCCATATGCACATAATTAAATAACATTGAGAAATGCGGATTTCAACGTGAAAGTGTCTTATTTCTTATTTTTTAATGATCTTTACTCTGTTACACAAGATTTCTTCTTGCACAGGATAACGAGTGAAAGCTGACAAAAGGAGGGCTGCCCCAAAGAAAGGGAAGTCAGAGTCGATATCTGCCATTTTGTACTTTAAATTTGCAGATTCTGGTCCTGTCTTTCTTTCCTGTTTTGCTTTTGTTCCTGTAATGTGATTGGATTCCTCTTGGGGGAGTATGTCCTTGCTAGGATTCTTCTGATTTATTAGTAAATACAAGATAATTCCAGGCACTTAATACTTTTCCATAATCTATACAAGTGGTTCTAACATACTGTTTCTCTAGGTTTCCCTTATTTAGATCCTGGACTTTTTTAAACATCCCCCATATGTTACGCACAAAACTTAGCGCTTTATTCAAACTCCCACTATGTAGCGTTACTTACCTTAACCGGGGGCCGGTCGCGGTCCTCTCTTCAAGCCGCGCGCGGTCCTGCGGCTCATCCGACTGCTTTAGATGGAAGGCGGGCAGTGACCGCGTGAAGCGGTCACGTGTCCCGCCTGAAACTAAGAGCGCGCCGCGAGTCTCGGGCGCGCTCTTAAAGAGACAGTGGGAGCCTAATTGCCAAAAGGCTCCCATTGGCTCCTGTCATACCACACTCCCTATACAATTACCTTTTGGGGGTGTGGAAGTGACAGGAGCCAATCACTTTCGTTTAAAAGCTATTTAAACTTACCTTTTTCCCTTAGCTCGTTGCCCTATCGTGGTTTCTGTTTCAGTTCCCTTTAGCGCTTGTGGTGTTCAGTTGTGTTTTCTCGTATTGACTTTGGCTTCGTATTCTGACTTCGTTTTCGCTTTATCCTTATCTGTACTGTTTGCCGGCTTGCTGTTTTCCGTGTACCAGACCCCGGCTTGTCCTAGTTTACGCTGTCTCTCTGTGCCCTTGACCTCGGTTTGTTCCTGGCTCTGTCTCCTCTCATATACGTCGAGTCCGGCCATTCTAAGGTCCGGTAGACGTATCTCTCCTCTGTATTGGCTTCTGTTTAGCTGGATCCTGCGTGTAGGGGTATATTCTCGTTACATTACGATAGGGCCATGGACCCCGCAGATTTAGCTCAACAGATGGCGTCCCATGAGGCAAGATTTGTAGAGCAGGATCACCGTATGGATCAGATAGCCCAGGCTCTCCAGACGCTCCTAGCTAGAACCGTTCCAGCAACCACACCTAACCCTCCTACGCCCCTTCTCCCTGAAGTATCTACTTTGCCTAATACTTCGGCCCATTTAACACCTCCTCCTAGGTATGGAGGGGACTCTAAGACTTGCAGAGGGTTTATTAATCAAATTGAATTCCACTTCGAAATGTATCCACGTTCATTTCCCACAGAGAGGTCTAAGGTTGGGTTCTTTATGCACCAACTTACCGATAAGGCACTTGAGTGGGCAAATCCTATTTGGGAAGCTAATGGACCTATGGTACATGATTTCAACAGTTTTCTTACGGCTTTTCGTAGAACTTTTGACACAATGAAAAGGTCAAAGAATGCCGCGAGAGCATTAATGAGAATTAAACAGGGTTCTAGGTCTGTGGCTGATTATGCTATTCAGTTTCGCACTCTTGCTTCGCAGGTAGATTGGACCAACAATGGGTTAACTACTGCCTTCATGGAAGGTTTGTCAGATACGATATTGGATGAGGTAGCAGCTAAGGAGCTTCCTATTGCCTTAGAGGACCTTATTGATTACCTCATTGATATAGATAATAGAATTCGTGACAGGCTCTATACCAAGAACAGGAATAGACGTTTTGTTACACCCATTAACCCCAGAGTTAATATACCAGAGAGTGTTAAAGTGTCTGAGGAGGAACCTATGCAATTAGGGGTTGCCAAACTCTCTGATACTGAGAAATTACATAGGAGAAGGGAGGGACTCTGCCTATACTGTGGTAGGAGAGACCATATGGTAAAGGAATGTCCTTTACTCCCGGAAAACTCTCGCACCTAAGACCTTATAGGGGACTGGCCTTGGGTGTGATATCTAAGTCTCCTAAATTGCCTCCTAACCGCTTGCTTCTCCCGGTTTCTTTATATATGGGAGAGATTTGTATAGTTGACAACATATATGCTCTGGTTGACTCTGGGGCAGCTGAAAATTTTATAGACTCTGGCTTTATAAAGAGAAACAACATTCCCATCAGAGAGAAGGAGATACCCTTGGCCGTTGAGGCCATAGATGGTAGACCATTAAGTTCTCCAGTTGTTACTCATGAGACTGTACCATTACACATGTACACAGGGGTTTTACACTATGAAACCATTCGATTCCAGGTCATCACCTCTCCCTCTTCACAGTTAGTATTAGGGTATCCATGGTTACGTGCTCACAATCCCATTTTTGACTGGGAGACAGGGCAAATAAAATCATGGAGTGAGGCCTGCCACGAGTCTTGTACGTTTGAAGTCACACCTTTGAATTCTATTAAGGTACCTACCAGTCCTCCTTTGTCTACGGCTATACCCCCTCAGTATTTATCTCTAAAGACTGTTTTCGATAAAAGGGAGGCTGAGAAATTACCGCCTCACAGACCCTATGATTGTGCTATTGACTTGTTGCCTGGCACTATACCTCCAAAGGGCAGGGTGTACCCCTTATCGGTTCAAGAAAACCGTGTCATGGAGGAGTATATTAAGGAATCACTAGAAAAGGGGTTTATTAGGAGATCCTCTTCTCCAGCTGGAGCAGGGTTCTTCTTTGTATCGAAGAAAGAAGGTGATTTAAGACCGTGTATAGATTATAGAGGTCTAAACAAAATCACTATCAAAAATGCATACCCTATACCTTTAATTACAGAATTATTTGACAGGCTGAAACATGCCACTGTGTTCACTAAATTAGACCTTAGGAGTGCATACAATTTGATACGTATAAAGGAAAATCACGAATGGAAGACTGCATTCAACACTAGATCCGGTCATTACGAATATACTGTTATGCCATTTGGGCTTTGCAATGCCCCAGCAGTATTCCAAGAATTTATTAATGATGTCTTAAGAGATTTTATTCACACATTTGTTATCGTATACTTGGACGACATTTTAATATATTCTACAGATATACACACTCATCACAGACATGTTACGACAGTTTTGAAGACCCTTCTTGCTAATGGTCTTTATTGCAAGCTAGAAAAATGTCTGTTTGACCAAACCGAAGTCCAGTTCTTGGGGTATTTGATTTCCGCTAAAGGTTTTCGTATGGATCCCCAGAAGCTTGCTGCTGTAATAGAATGGCCTCTACCGCAAGGTCTGAAAGCTATTCAGCGTTTTCTTGGGTTCTCCAATTATTATAGACGTTTTATCAAAGGTTTCTCGTCCATTGTAGCACCTATTACCCGTATGACTAAAAAGGATGGCAATACTCGTGTTTGGTCTACCGAGGCACTTCAGGCTTTTGAATTTCTTAAAACTACGTTCGCCTCTGCACCTATTTTACAGCATCCTGTCCCCTCACTGCCCTATATTCTTGAAGTTGATGCTTCGGATATTGGGGTAGGTGCTGTCTTATCCCAAAGAGAGTCGCCTGAAAAGCCATTGCATCCATGCGGCTTCTTTTCTAAACAAATGTCCAAAGCAGAGAAAAATTATGATGTGGGTAATCGCGAACTCCTTGCTATTATTTTAGCACTTAAAGAGTGGAGACATTTGTTAGAAGGAACTAAGGATCCTATCCTCATTTTTACGGATCACAAGAACCTATCCTACCTTAGCGAAGCCAAAAGATTGTCTTCCAGGCAGGCTAGGTGGTCACTATTTTTGTCCCGTTTCAATTTTATTATCACCTATAGGCCAGGTGATCGCAACACTAAAGCAGACGCTCTGTCCAGACAGTTCGAAACTACTGACAAACAGGAGATTGATGTTACTCCTGTCATTCCCCCAGACAGGATAATAGCTACTACTATTTTGTCTATTTCCTCGTCCCTCTTGCAGGCCATACAAGCGAAACAAAGCATGGCACCTAGCGAGAGGCCTAATGATAAACTGTTCGTTGATGTTCCTGAGAGACGGGATATTATGTCATTATATCATGATACTAAGACTGCTGGACATCCTGGTATTTCCAAAACGGTGTCAGCTGTTTCTCGGTATTTTTGGTGGGATTCCTTACGAAAGGATGTCACTGACTATATAAGTGCTTGTACTACTTGTGCCTGTATGAAATCCTCCCGTAGAGTTCCTTGTGGGCTGTTGCATCCGTTACCCGTTCCCGAGAGACCTTGGTCTAACCTGTCCATGGATTTTATTGTTGAATTACCCCCTTCAAATGGTAACACAGTAATCCTGATGATAGTGGATCGGTTTTCCAAGATGGCTCACTTCGTGTCTCTTCACAAGTTGCCCACATCCAAGGAACTGGCTCATATCTTCGCTAGAGAAGTATTTCGATTACATGGTATTCCCGTATCTATTGTATCCGATAGGGGTAGCCAATTTATTTCCAGGTTCTGGAGGGCCTTTTGTTCAGAAATGGGTATTTCTCTCTCATTTTCTTCCGCTTATCATCCCCAGTCTAATGGGGCTGCTGAACGTGCCAACCAGTCTCTGGAGCAATACCTCCGTTGTTTTGTGTCTCACCATCAGGACAATTGGTCTGACCTGCTTCCTTGGGCTGAATTTGCTCGGAATAACGCCACTCATGATTCTTCCGGCAAGAGCCCTTTTTACGTTGTCTATGGCCAGCATCCCGTTGTTCTTCCGGCTGCATTCTCCTCACAGGGCATGCCAGTTCTGGATGAGCATTTGGCTGGTTTGCGTAATACTTGGGAGCAGGTTCAGCGTTCTTTGGTGGACTCTGCTACTCGCCAGAAGGCTCAGGCTGACAAGCATCGCAGAGCAGCTCCGTCCTATGTTGTGGGGGACAGGGTTTTGCTTTCCACGCGGAATATTCGTCTCCGGGTGCCTTCTATGAAGTTGGCTCCCCGCTTCATTGGACCTTATCGTATTATACATAAGGTTAATCCTGTTTCTTATGCCTTAGGCCTGCCTAAGAATCTACGTATTCCTAATGTCTTTCACACCTCATTGTTGAAACCTTACGTACGCAACCGCTATACCCGGCATACTCCTCCTCCCCCTCCTATCTCGGTGGAGGGTCATGAGGAGTTTGAAGTGTCTGCTGTTCTTGACTCTCGTTTCCTTAGGGGTCGACTTCAGTACTTGGTACATTGGAAGGGTTATGGGCCTGAGGAGCACAGTTGGATTTCGGCTGATGCTGTTCATGCTCCCCGTCTTGTGCGCTCTTTCCATTCTCGTTTTCCTGCCAGGCCTGGTCCTACCCGCCCGGAGGGCGTGTCCTCAGGGGGGGGTACTGTAGCGTTACTTACCTTAACCGGGGGCCGGTCGCGGTCCTCTCTTCAAGCCGCGTGCGGTCCTGCGGCTGCACGAGCCGCGCGCGGCTCATCCGACTGCTTTAGATGGAAGGCGGGCAGTGACCGCGTGAAGCGGTCACGTGTCCCGCCTGAAACTAAGAGCGTGCCGCGAGTCTCGGGCGCGCTCTTAAAGAGACAGTGGGAGCCTAATTGCCAAAAGAAATGCGGATTTCAACGTGAAAGTGTCTTATTTCTTATTTTTTAATGATCTTTACTCTGTTACACAAGATTTCTTCTTGCACAGGATAACGAGTGAAAGCTGACAAAAGGAGGGCTGCCCCAAAGAAAGGGAAGTCAGAGTCGATATCTGCCATTTTGTACTTTAAATTTGCAGATTCTGGTCCTGTCTTTCTTTCCTGTTTTGCTTTTGTTCCTGTAATGTGATTGGATTCCTCTTGGGGGAGTATGTCCTTGCTAGGATTCTTCTGATTTATTAGTAAATACAAGATAATTCCAGGCACTTAATACTTTTCCATAATCTATACAAGTGGTTCTAACATACTGTTTCTCTAGGTTTCCCTTATTTAGATCCTGGACTTTTTTAAACATCCCCCATATGTTACGCACAAAACTTAGCGCTTTATTCAAACTCCCACTATGTAGCGTTACTTACCTTAACCGGGGGCCGGTCGCGGTCCTCTCTTCAAGCCGCGCGCGGTCCTGCGGCTCATCCGACTGCTTTAGATGGAAGGCGGGCAGTGACCGCGTGAAGCGGTCACGTGTCCCGCCTGAAACTAAGAGCGCGCCGCGAGTCTCGGGCGCGCTCTTAAAGAGACAGTGGGAGCCTAATTGCCAAAAGGCTCCCATTGGCTCCTGTCATACCACACTCCCTATACAATTACCTATAGGGGGTGTGGAAGTGACAGGAGCCAATCACTTTCGTTTAAAAGCTATTTAAACTTACCTTTTTCCCTTAGCTCGTTGCCCTATCGTGGTTTCTGTTTCAGTTCCCTTTAGCGCTTGTGGTGTTCAGTTGTGTTCTCTCGTATTGACTTTGGCTTCGTATTCTGACTTCGTTTTCGCTTTATCCTTATCTGTACTGTTTGCCGGCTTGCTGTTTTCCGTGTACCAGACCCCGGCTTGTCCTAGTTTACGCTGTCTCTCTGTGCCCTTGACCTCGGTTTGTTCCTGGCTCTGTCTCCTCTCATATACGTCGAGTCCGGCCATTCTAAGGTCCGGTAGACGTATCTCTCCTCTGTATTGGCTTCTGTTTAGCTGGATCCTGCGTGTAGGGGTATATTCTCGTTACACACTACTCTTGGGCAAGTGCAATGGCTATAGTGTAAATCAGGCCAAATACATAGAACCAATGCAAAACAAGATACATACACTCTATCCCCAATCCCTATGCACAGTTAAATAACACAGGTTTTAGTACCATGTAATGGCCATTTGAGTGTTATTAAAAAACATCTGTTATTTAAATGTGCCTAGGGATGTGGGACAGAACGCAGGTAATATTTTTTGTTTTTATCCCCCATATCTTAGCTATGCCTTTGTATTCCCTTCCAAGTGTAATTGGCATGCTGGAATTCTGAATCCTTTCACTGGGATGCTGAATTTTTAAATCCTGTCATTAGAATGCTAAAATCCTAAATTCTGTGACTAGGGGTGTCAGATTCTTGTCATTGGGGTAAAGATAACAGACAGGAGGTGATCAGCGCTTAAAGGACCACTATAGGCACCCAGACCACTTCAGCTCAATTAAGTGGTCTGGGTGCAAGGTCCAGCTAGGGTTAACCCTGCCTGCTGTAAGCACAGCAGTTTCAAATAAACTGCTATGTTTACATTAGGGTTAATCCAGCCTCTAGTGGCTGTCTCACTGACAGCCGCTAGAAGCGCTTCTGCGCTTATCACTATGATTTTCTATGGACAGACTGAATGCGCGCGTGGCTATATAAAATAGTAGGTTTATTTAATAAAAAAAGCTGGAAACAACAGCTATATAAGTAAAAACAAATAAACAAACTGTGGACAAGATAAGTCCTCACTAATGCGTTTCACCAAAGGCATTCGCAAAAATGGTCCACTTTTGAGAAAGCCTTTGGCGAAACGCGTTAAGTGAGGACTTATTTTATCCACAGTTTGTTTATTTGTTTTTACTTATATATTACATATATTGGGTACTGTGAAATCTTGGTGGGCTTAACCCAATATGGCCATATGGTAGACCTGAATCCCCATATTTGCTTGGGATGATTTTAAGTAGCTTTATAAAATGTAAACTGTATTATGTGTACATTTTGGTCACTACAGCAGCACAATTCCTGCAAAATGCATTTTCTGGATGTGCCCCCAATTCCTTTTTGTCTTTACTATGTAACGTTGGAATCCAGACCAGATCCCTTTTGGGTTCGTTATGTGACTTTAAATAGCCTTATATAATTTAAAAATGTATTTTTGTGTGTGCGCTGTTCCTTAATCTGAGTTCTGAATCCAGTACTGTAATCCTGAAACATGCGATTGGGGGTGCCTGAATCCAGTCATCGGAGGACTGTAATCCTGAAACATGCGATTGGGGGTGCCTGAATCCTGCCATTGTTTACTGGAGTTGTTTCAGAAAGTGCAAGAGGAAATAGAGAGGAATTGTATTTTTTTCTGCTGTATAACTTTGATTTATAATAGATAAATATTAACGCCATGTTTATTTATTCTTGTTTTGGATTGCTGGAGCTAAAATATGGACCTACTGTATGGTGCCCATCTCGCACTGTGACCCCTGAAAGAGGGAGCAGTAAGGTTGGTATTCCTTGGCCGCTTGTACCATGATGTCATGCTGATCTAATAATCACGTTACCCAGTGTGACCCAAAACAGGAGAAGATATTTTTTAATTTAGGGTCAGTGAATGGATATTTCCATAATAGGCACAGTATGTACATATATTGAATGGAAAGTCTCTCTTCTCTCCTGAATTACTTGATATGAACAAGAAAAAAAGGTTCAGCACATGTATTTACAAAACCCAACTCTCAAAGGATCACAATAAGTGTTTTACAGAAGAACTATCACCAGGGGTGTTGCTAGGGTCAAAATATACCCGGACTTGAGCCTGTTTCCCAAGGCCCAACCACTGATCCCTCCAAGGCAACACTCCTTAACACCTACAAGAAACCCATCTTCACGCACTCACAGATATATACATAAAGACACACTCACGCACACAGTTACACACAGACACACACATTCACACATTCACAGATGCGTACATAAAACCATACATGTACAACACACACAGGCACACATTATATGAGAAATCGGCACATTTATCATTAAATAATGATTGATTTCAGAAAGCTGTGCCATGTGAGAGTACATACAGAGGTAGAACTTTGAAGTATTTTCAATGATATACCTCTGCGATGAGGACTTGCAAAGGCTGCAGGAATTGCAGCTTTTGTAAACTCTTTTAAGATATAACCCTATCGGATACTTGCATGGGATTTATCCACTAAACAATGATTATTTATTATCACTGTGGAGTGTTCCTTTAACTGTAGGTTGAAATACCGTGCAAATGGGAAATACATCAGATGTTACATGCTTTGCTACATGCATTTGAAAATTTGCCCTAGATTAAAGAACTTTGATATTCTGGTACAAGGGCAGGCAACCTTCGGCACTCCAGATATTGTGGACTACTCCAATAATGCTCTTACAGCCATGATGTTGGCAAAGCATCAAGGGAACTGTAGTCCACAACATCTGGAGTGCCCAATGTGGTCTGCCCTTGCTCTGGTCATTCACCTCAATACCCAACCCCCGCCTCCCCCCCCACACACACGAACACAGCTAGCTACTCTCTTACATATACATACAGTCATGAAAAAAAAAAATACACCCTCTTTAAATTCTATGGTTTTACATATTAGGACATAATAACACACAAACACTGGCACGCACACATACACACACTGACAGAGAGACACACACACACACACACTGACAGAGACACACACACACTGACAGAGACACATACACACACACACACTGACACAGAGAGAGACACACAAACACTATCAGTGTGTGTGTGTCTCTCTCTGTCAGAAAGACAAACACACACTGAGAGAGAGAAAGAGAGACACACACACACACACACACACTGACAGAGAGAGATACACACTGACATAGAGAGATACACAAACACACACACTGACATACATGCACACACACATAAACTGACATTTTCCATTTAAATCCAGCCAGCCCCCCTACCTGGGAGAGCTAAGTGGACTTTCCCTGGGGTCTAGTAGGGCTGTTCGCTCATTCTGTGTGCGAGGGAGCAGTAATCTACCTGCGGCTCCTCTCTGCTCTCTGTAGTGATGCTGGGGCCAGAATGATGTCATATTCCGGCTCCTGGCATCACTATACAGTGCAAGCTAGCAGAGAGGAGCTACAGGAAGATTACTGCTCCCTCCCACGCTGCCCCAGCCTGCTGTCTGCTCGATCCCCATGGTGGCCATCTCCATGCAGCCCAAGATCCCCAGGGCGGCCACCTACACGCTCCTCAGAGCGGTTGCCTGCACGCTCACTGAGCCGAACGGTCGGCCACATTGTTCACCCATCCTGCCTTCAGCTAAAGGGCTTCAAATTTTGCGCCAGGGCATAATTTCAAGTCGCCATGGCAACCTGGCGCCTGGGATTTGTCGAGCACTGTGCTAAGCAAATGCCCTTGGTTAAGTGACCATCAGCAATTGTGACCACCTCTATAAAAGCTAAAGTTTTATCATTTTGCTGGTCTGGAGCAATCAGGTGTGTGTTAACACAACGCCATGGAGGAACTACATCAGCAATGGTTTTAGAGAAGCAATAATTGCTGCCCATCTAACTAGGAAGGGTTATAAGGCCATTTCCAAACAATTTAAAGTCCATCATTCTACAGTGAGAAAGCCTCTTCTCTCTAAAAAGCAAACATAGCATATCATCACAAACATCTCATACCAACTGTCAAGCACGGTGGTGGAGGGGTGATTATTTGGGTTTGTTTTGCAGCCACAGGACCTGGGAACATTGCAGACATTGAGTCAACCATGAACTCCTCTGTATACCAAAGTATTCTAGAGTCAAATGTGAGGCAATCTAACAGTTAATGCTTGTCCAAAATTGGGTCATGCAACAGCACAATGATCCCAAGCACACAAGCAAATCTACATGGCTGAAAAACAGTTGAAAAAGAAAAGAATCAAGGTGTTGCAATGGCCCAGTCAAAGTCCAGACATCAACCTGATTGAAATGCTGTGGTGGGACCTTAAGAGAGCTGTGCATAGACAAATGCCATCAAACCTCAATGAACTGTAGCAACATTCTAAAGAAGAACGGGACAAACTTCCTCCACAATGATGTGAGATACTTATAAGACATACAGAAAAAGATTACTTCACGTTATTGCTGCTAAAGGTGATTCTACAAGCTCTTGAATCATATGGTGCACTTAGTTTTGCTCACATGGCTTCTCCATTTTGTCTTTACTTTTTGTTAAAAAAATCATGGCATTGTGTAACATGTCATGTGTTAATGTTCATCTGAGGTTGCATTTACTTAATTTTATGACCAGATGATTGTTATTATGTCCTGATATGTAAAACCATAGAATTCAAACAGGGTGTACTTTCTTTTTCCTTTGATTGTAGCAAACCACTCACAGTACAGAGCTAGCCAGTCTTACACAACACTCATACACACAGCTATGCATAATCCATACACACACACAGACACAGCAACGCATGCTTCCACACACCTTCACACAAAGACACAGCTACGCGTACATCCACATACAGCTATAGAAATACATCAATACATATATATTTACAATCACTCACAAATGCACATAATGTGCCCACTTGTAATTGAACTATTGTCATTCTATTTGCACCTCAACTGCTAGAATCACAAAATAAAGGCGATCTTGTTTCTAGTGGTGAAAGGGCTGTGACTGCATTCTGCTGTACCAGAGATCGGTTCACTTGACTATCACTGTATGCCAGGAATTTCAGAATTCTGTGATGAGGTGCATGGGAGTCTCGAAGCTGTCTCTACTCCGAGAACAAGGAGAAACCAGACTGCTCTCAAAGTGAAAGGAGGCCCCTCAGGGAAACATATTCTCCATGTGACATGGGTTTGCACCGGCCATAAGTATTTTGTGGTAATTATTATTATTATTTATAAAGTGACAATAAATTCTGCAGCGCTGTACAATGGGTGAACTGACACATATTTGTAACCAGACGAGTTGGATGTACAGGAACAGTCAGGGTTGAGAGCCCTGCTCAAATGAGTTTACATTATAAAAGGAGTAGGTTAGTAATAATCTTATATCCCAGGAGGAACTGTGGTGAAAGTTTTCTGGATGGAATTTACAAGTTTCAAATTTTTTTGGCTGACAAAATATATTGCTTGTGTGCTGTAAGTTATTATTATTATTATTGCAATTTATATAGCACCAACAGATTCCGTAGCGCTTTACAATATTATGAGATTTAACTATAAATAGGACAATTACAAGAAAACTTACAGGAACGATAGGTTGAAGAGGGCCCTGCTCAAACGATCTTACATTCTATAGGAGGTGGGGTACAAGACATGTTAGGACAGGAAATAGCAATCAGATAGGGTGGGAGTGAAGCAGAGCTGGAGGAGAGAGTAAAACACTGCCCTATAGGAGAGAGCAAGAGACAGGTATGTAAGGTAGAGGTTACCCTGGGAGGTCATAAGCTTTCCTAAAGAGATGGGTTTTAAGGCACTTCTTAAAGGATTGAAGACTAGGGGACAGTCTGATGGGGGTAGGCAGGCTATTCCATAGGAAAGGAGCCACCCACGAGAAGTTCTGCAAGCATGAGTTGGCCGTACGGGTGCGAGCAGCGGTCAGGAGGTGGTCACGGGCAGGGTGGAGGGAACAAGGAGGGGCATACCTTTGGATGTGTGAAGAGATATAAGAGGGGCTAGAATTGTTCAGTGCTTTAAATGTATGGGTTAGCACTTTGAATTGACTTCTATAGGATACAGGGAGCCAATGTAAGGACTGGCAGAGGGGTGAGGTGTGGAAGGACCGACTAGAGAGGAAAATAAGTCTGGCTGCGGTATTCAGTACAGACTGAAACTGGGCAATACGGCTTTTGGGGAGACAAATCAGGAGAGGGTTACAAAAATCCATGTGGGAAATTACCAGAGCATGGACAAGCTCCTTGGTAGCATCTTGTGTAAGAAAGAGGCGGATGCGGGCTATGTTTTTAAGTTGGTATCTACAGGATTTGGCAACAAACTTAATGTGAGGCTCAAAGGTGAGGCCAGAGTCAAGTATGATGCCAAGACAGCGCGCTTGCAAAGATGGGCTTATGTGGATATCACTGACTTGAAGGGAGAGAGAGATAGAAGAGGATCAGTATTAGAAGGAGGAAAGACAAGGAGTTCAGTTTTAGAGAGATTGAGTTTCAGAAAGCGCGAGGACATCCAGTCAGAGATGGAAGAAAGGCAAGCAGTGACACGTTGCAAGATGGCAGGGGAGAGGTCCGGGCAGTGGCGGATCCAGAGCCTGATCTCGAAGGGGCACTTGTAGATTATTTAAAGAAATAATCCAGACACAATAACCACTACAGCTCAGTGTAGTGGTTATGGTGTCAATAGTGCCGGGACTCCTCCCACAGTAAGTAGTCAAACTGTTTAAGAACAGTTTGACAACTTACCTGAGATCTGCTGGGAAATGGGGCTGTAGTAGGGCATAGGAGCAGTGGTGTGTGTGAGTGGTGCAATGTGTAAGGGGTGCAGTGTATGGGGGCAGTGTTGTGTATGGGGGCAGTGTGTGTATGGGGGGCAGGTGTGGGCTGTGGGGGCAGTGTATGTGGGGCAGTATGTGTGGGCCAGTGTGTGTGTATGGGGGCAGTATGTGTGGGGGGGCAGTTTGTGTGTATAGGGGGCAGTTTGTGTGAATGGGGGGGCAGTTTGTGTGTATAGGAGGCAGTTTGTGTGAATGGGGGGGCAGTATTGGGGGCAATGTATGTGTGTGTGGCTTTTTTTTTTTTTAATAATATATATTTTTTAATTTAATTAAAATAAATATCCTATGTCCCCCCTCCCTTCTTACCTTTACTGGGGAGGAGGGGGGACATATTTCGTTCCCTGGTGGTCCCAGTGGTGAGAGTGAACTCTAGCCCGCGCTCCCGGGCTAGAGTTCACTCTCGCGAGATTTGGAGCGTCGCCATGGTAACCACGGCAACGCTCCAAATCTCGCGAGAGTAGGACCCGGAGGAGATGCAGTCTGAGCTCCCGGGTCCTCTCTCCTCCCTCTCCCTCCCCTGCCGGCTGTAAGCACAGTGCCTGCGGACCGGGGAGGGAGATCTCTGATCTCCCCTCCGGTCCGCAGGCACATTGCAGGGCTAGCACCTGCATGTGCTGGCAGGGGAGGGAGAGGGAGACCGGCGGATTTCTCGGGGGGGGCAATTGCCCCGTTGCCCCCCCCCCTGGATCCGCCACTGGGTCCGGGGAGGAGAGGTATATCTGAGTGTCATCAGCGTACAGGTGCTAGTGGAATCCAAAAGAGGTAATAAGTTTGCCAAGAGAGGCAGTATAAAGAGAAAATAGAAGGGGACCAAGGACAGAGCCTTGGGGAACTCCACCCGAGACAGGACGAGGGTAGGAGGTATCCTTGGAAAAGGAGACACTGAATGAGCATTGGGACAGATAAGAGGAAAACCATGAGAGGACAGAGTCACAGAGACCGAGCGATTGAAGAGTTTGAAGGAGGAGAGCATGATCAAAGGTGTCAAAGGCAGCAGAGAGGTCAAGGAGAATTAATATGGAGTAGTGACCTTTAGATTTAGCTGCGATTAGGTCATTAGTAACTTTGATAAGAGCAGTCTCAGTAAAGTGGAGAGGGCGGAAGCCAGACTGAAGATGGTCAAGGAGAGAGTTGGAATTGAGGAAGCGAGACACATGGGTAAAGACAAGTCTCCCCAAAAGCTTTGATGAAAAAGGGAGCAGGGATATGGGATGATAGAGGGGGAGGATGGGTCAAAATATGTTTTTTTCAGGATAGGTACTACAGTGGCATGTTTAAGGTCAGCAGGAACAGTGCCAGAAGAGAGAGAGCAGTTGAAGATGTGTGTTAGGGAAGGCACAAGACAAGGGGAGAGAGATCTGATGAGGTGAGATGGGACAGGATCGAGCGGGCAAGTGGTGGGGCGAGAGGAATGGAGAAGCGCAGCCACTTCTTGTTCAGTAGCCGGGGAGAAAGTCTGAAGGGTAGGAAAGGCATGATTTACGTGTGGTTCAATCTTGTCGGTAAAGTAGCATGCAAAGCTATCAGCTGTAAGGTTAGTTTAGGGGGTTGCCACAGCAGGGCGGAGAAGAGAATTAAAGGTGTCAAAGAGACGTTTGGGATTGCAGGAGCATGATCTAATGAAAGAGGAAAAGTAGGACTTTTTGGCGAGGGCAAGGGCTCCGCTGTATGAACGCAATATGAATCTATAATGGAGAAAGTCTGCCTGGGTGTGGGACTTCCTCCAGGAGCATTCAGCACAACGGGAGCAACTCTGCAGATAGCGTGTTGATTTAGTATGCCAAGGTTGGGGTCGTGTCCTCCTTGAGGTGCATGTTTGAAGCGGGGCTGCAGCGTTCAAGGCAGAGGTGAGGGTAGTGTTATATGTGGAGATGGCTAGTGAGGGACAAGAGAGAGAAGGGATAGATAGGAGATGTGAATCAATGTCAGCTGACATCTGCTGGAGGTCAATAGAATTAAGGTTCCTCCTGAGTTGAGGTGGTTAGACTGAGGTTGTTGTGTGAGGGGGTAATCGAGAGCAAACAATAAGAGGTGGTGATCAGAGAGAGGAAATGGAGTGCTGCAGATATTAGATACTGTACATGAATACGAGAAAATAAGGTTGAGGGTATTGCCAGCTACATGGGTGGGAGAATTAGCACACTGCAATAGGAAGTGATTGAAAGTAGTTTAGAGGCTGCTGGGGTTAAAGGAGGGTTAATGGTATTATTGAAGTCTCCAAGAATTAAGGATGGAATGTTAGAAGAGAGGAAGTAGGGTAACCAGGCAGCAAAGTGGTCAAGGAAGAGGAGAGGGGAACCAGGGGAAAAGGCAGTGTTTACATTGGTCTCTAGTAACACCTACAGGTGCTGTCACTCAGATGGCCACTAGAGGCACTACCATATTTCAGTCCTGCAATCTTTTCTGGACCTATGCATGCATGCACTGAATCTATGAGGAGATGCTGATTATTGCAGTGTTGCATTTTGCTGTGCATGCACACTCGCTTTCCGATGCTTCCCTATGATCTCAGCCATGGAGGAGGGTGACAGGATGGGAGAAAGAGAAAAAGTAAGTAAATCTCTCTTTTTTACAGCTTACAAGCTGGTGGGCAGTAGCCTAAACTGTGACGAGGGCACTATAGCATTAGGAATACCTGTTTGTGTTCCTAACTATTTAGTTCCATTTATCTAGGCATAAAACTGACCAATAATCATTTTAAACACACGCAAAATAGGTCAGTACATAGGTTTCAGTATTTTCAAGTAGCACAATAATGCTATTAAAAGCTCCGGTATGTACCTCATTTATTGCCAGCTGTTCCCCGCCTCCGCCATACCGGTGACTAGATACATGCAAGTCCTCATAGAAATCTTCATCACTTCCCAAGTCATCAATAAGGGTGGGTCTGTCAAGTGTCCCATCAGCGATCACTGCAAATTGGAAAGAATTCATATGTCAGGAAAACCAGAGAACTGAACGCATTCTCATTCTTTCAGAGATTTTTAATAATCGTCAGAATTTCTGGACATTTTACATGAAAAGTTATATTTCTATTTCTTAGACATAGGTCTTGATTTAATATTTGTAGATAAGCTTTTCAAATGATTTAAAATTTTGGGGTACATTTTTAAAATATTTAAAGGGGCGCTATAGGCACCACCCAGACCACCTAATCTCATTGAAATGGTCTGGGTGTCCCCCATAGTTCTGCAATGTAAAATATTGCAGTTTCAAAGAACCTCTAGGCCAGGGGTGACCAAAAGGTAGATCCCAAGATGTTGTAGAACTACAACTCCCACGATACTTTGCCTTCTTTTAGAATGCTTTAGAATGACAAAGCATCATGGAAGCTGTAGTTTTAAAACATATGGGGATCTCCATTTTCTAGGCTGTCTCCCCTTTAGATTTAGGGAAAGGGACACTATAGCATTAGGAATACAGTTTTACATTCCCAACACTATAGTGTTCCTTTAATATTTTAAAAAATACTTTAATACTTTGATTATTTTTTATACATTGATATATTTGTATATATGATATACTTTTTTTTATATTTTAATAATATGAAAAAAAATTGTTTTTAAATGTTTAGCCAAAAATATTAAATAATTTGAAACGCCTATCCAAAAATATTAAATCAAGGTAATTGTTAGCTAACTCATTGGTATATAAAATCACATTCAGAGATTCCTACCCATCCTGCATCTTTTAGTCCCTTCTTTAACCCCTTAAGACATATGATGGAAATATTCCGTCATGATTCACTTTTATTCCAGACATTATGTCCTTAAGGGGTTAAATGATTAAAAACCAAATATTCAAAGTAAACATTTCAAACATGAGAAGTAAACCACATAATACATAACAGATAAGGAATTCCAGGGAATAAGAGCCCATAGGCTGTTTTAACCATCTAATTTCCAACTCCACAATGACTCCACACATTTTGATAAAAACTATGTGGGACAACCACAGATGTGTCCCAAGAAGAAAAAAAAAGTAAATAGACAGAAATTAAACATTTTAACCTAAAAAAATGCAAATCGTGCAAAACTCACACCCAGTGTATACATACACAACAATACTTAGTTTTATGAATAATTCCAATAATATGGTTCAACAGTATCCAAAATGAAAGCAAATGTACCTAAAAAAAGATATATAGAAAGAGAACCCACACAGTGTTATCTGTATACAGAAATACACATGATTTGATGGAGGAATTTAAATACGTTTTAAAAGCTGTACTTTGATTATTAAAGCATTAAACACTTCACATCCTCTTTTCTCTGCATGAGTAAGGTAAGCATTTGAAAATTGCCATAAAGGGACAAGCCACTGCCCAAATACAAAAAAAAATCACTGTTTAGTAGATATTCCTCAAATGAAAACATTCCTCCGTGTAATTATGCATTTTTTCATGAGGGGTATGTCTAAAACTACTTGCAAAACCTGCAGATCTCTTGTCTAAAGCCATTGCAAGCCATCGTCTCCACTGAGCTAGACAACCAGGAAGTAACAGGACCGCTTGTCTGATTGACAGTCCGAGGGGATGTAACAAGGTTAATTTATAAAAGTGCCAATTTTTATTAATGAAATCAGCATTTTTTGTAAAAATTAAAAAATGAGGACAAACTGTTTACATTCAAATGCCAACATTTCTACATTGCTTGCTATAAACAAGTTTTCAAACCCTCGCTATTAAAGTTAATTCAACATTGTCTACCCTTGATGATCCTAGTTGCAAAGTTTTCCTCCCTTTGCGAGTTCAATGTCTAATTCTCTGTGCTCTGCATATTCACAACAGACGTGTTTCTTACGCCTGTATTAATCAATTCTTGGTCTGCTATCTCTCTAATCCTAACAGTTATTCACTAAAGTGAGTATCCACAGTAAACTCAAAATGAATTTGAGGCAAAATAGCCAATATTGAGAAATTCAGCGATGCTTTCAGTTCAGCTAGTCTGGCCTTAAATTTGAAATTCACTTTGAATTCACTTTCAATTCTCAGTTTAGCGAATAACCCTGTAAAGTCTCATCTTATAATAAGTGCCCCGAACCCGAACACCCTGACTCCAACAGGTTAGAGGGAACCTATAGTTCTAAAAATAACAATTGATGTTTTGGGACTGTACGCTCCCATCTTGCAATGCGCACACTGTCCACACCCTTTTGCCCTGTAAAAATTAATCTAAATAAATATTACTCACCTCGTTTCCTCCACTCCTCTGTTGCAGCCTCTAGCTCTTCTGCCAGTGATATCAACAAGCATGCTGACATCACCTACGAACTCATCTAATCCAGTGCTTCTCATAAAAAGACACATTGGATTGAAAAGTGCATGCGCGACAAAACTCAGCACTCCTCCAATCAAATGCTGCCGAGTTTTACTCGGTAATGCAGGTGGAAGCACCTCTAGTGGCTGTAAGGAAGTTTACCACAAAAGGTTTGCCTAACCCTGCAATGTAAAATTGCGTTTTGTGTCCCCAAAAAAAATCCAACCACTACATCCACAGGAGAAAAAAATAAAATAAACATACAACATAAACGTCTGTTACAGTAATTTATAATGAGTTAAATGTAAATTGGGGCTTTAAAAAATCTGTTAGGTAATGCCTCCAATTCAGGTAGCCCATGGAGCAACGCAGTATGGGGAGTGGGCCTTGACAGAGCCAGGGAGTGGGCATGGGCTTAAGTTTGTGGGAAGGGTTTTGGGAGTGATGTTTTGGGGGGTGGAGAGTAGGGATATATAGAGCGGCCATATTAGAATAGGGGCCATTTTAACTGGAGCCTCTCTTACCTGTAGATTGTTGCAGGCCAGAGAGGTTCCCCCCTTTTTTCTTTGTTTCCCTGCAGGTCGATGGCGGCGTTGGAGGAGCTTCTGGAGGGAGTGCGGGCGGCCGTGAGGGACCGTGGCCTCGAATGGCTACATCAGCAGCTGGGGGCCGCCGGGCCTTCCGCATCGGTACCGGCGCGACGACCGGCCAGGAGGACGAGGCCGCCGCAGCGGCTGAGCCCGGGTGCTGGGCCCGCGGCGAGACGCCGTCGAAGCCCTTCTGAGGGAGGAGGAACGTCCGCGGGGGCAGGAGAGGTCCCGGTCGTGGAGCCGGGAAGGAGCACGGCTCGGGCCGGCAGGCGCGGCTGCGGTCTGGCGAGGACGGCCGTAAAGCACCCGGCGGCTGGACGCCGCACGCCGCGTGGGTCGGCGGCAGGCAGGGGAGATGGAGCGGTGGCTGCCAATTCGGCGGCCGGGTCGGCGGCCAGGACGGAGGACGGTCACGTGGGCGGGATCACAGAGCTGGAACGTCCCGGTGAGTCAGCCACCAGTGGCACCGCTGTGGGGCAGGAGAATGTGGTTATGGGGAGTGTGGAGACAAGAGCAGCCCCCCATGGGTCTGGGGGAGGCTGGGGCGGCGAGGTCAGCGCAGGGACGGCCCAGGCAGGGGTCAGGAGGGAGGATGTCGGTGGTGGTTTTAGTGCGCAGGAGACGGCTGGATCAGGGCGCACGGCGATCAGCCAGGGACAGGATTCTTTAACGGGAAGGACGGCTAGAGGGAAGCCAGGCGCAACAGCAGTGGGAGACAGACGTAGACCCACCCTGGAGGGAGGTGACAGGGGTGGTGGCAGCAGGCGGGAGGGTCCTTCTGGCTGCTCCCAGGGTCAGCATATGGACGGAGAGGACGCAAGGAGTGAGAGGAGAACGGAACGGCGCAGCATGAGCGCCAGGCGCAGCAGCACGAGGAGCAGAGCAGGGAGTCGAGGAAGCGGGGAGAGGTCACCAGTGCGGAGCAGATGCAGCGCAGCTAGGTCCTGTTGCAGGGAAGGCTGTGGGAGGTCCCTGTCTAGGGATAGAAGGCAGAGGAGTCGACGTAGCACGTCTGATTCACCAGACAGGAGAGTACAGGTTCACTCAAGGGGAGCGGATTACAGGGGGAGTCGTTTTGCAAGGCAGCTGGAACGTGGGGAGGAAGGGCGGGTAGACCCTACGCTGAACAGACTACCCAGGTTTTCTTCTCCCTGCAGGTCACGGAGCAATACCCCTACGGTCTCGAGGCGGGACCAGGCGGATGGGAGTCGGCGACAACACGACACTCCGGCTCCCGGAATGGTGGGCGGAAGGACGACGCCCCTGCGGTCAGCTGCGGCCAGGGGCTTGAGCGGTGAGTCAACACATGCACGACACTCTGGACAGTTGTTGAATGATTTGAAAGTATTTTTAGACGCTTGGTCGGACAAGGGCGGGTCCCCCTCGGAATTCGGGCGGGTATGGTCACAGGAAGGTAGTCGGGACGCGGCGGTGGAGCACGCTGGGGCGGTACCGGCGGGGACACATGGAGGCGAGGCCGGCGACGTGACGGGGTCGGCGGGGTTGACCGATGGTGGGGGGGAACCCACGGAAGGGGGTAGCGATGTCCCGGATGCGGCGCGGCAAAACGTGCACGTGTCCTTTGCGGGCCCCCTGGGGTGCCACTTAAAAACAGAAGTAAAGGATAAGATTTGGAAAGGTGAGTTCGTGGAAATCTTTTCCCTTCTTCCCCTCGAGGAATTCTTGGACTTGAAAGAGGAGGATAAAAAGGACGCCAAGAAAGAGGAGGAGGAAAAAAGGCGGAGGTATCGCAAGATACCGAAAACTTTTGGGAATTGGCTACGGGCTTTTTGTATTCTGGCTAGCGTGATAGGGGAAAAGAACCCGGGGCGTTGCTCGGAACTTTTTTGCTACTTGGATGGGATAGGCGATGCATATCGAACATACGGGGGATTGGCGTGGTGGAGGTATGACGAGCAATTTCGACAACGGCTAGCGGTGAACACGAGCATGCGGTGGGATCAAATGGATCTGCCGTTATGGATGCGCCTTATGATGGCTCAAAAGGCGGCGCCCTTTCTTGGGACAGCCGGCACGGCCGCAGGGGGTGCTGTGTCGGCTGGGCAAAAGAAAGGCTTCTGCTGGATGTACAACGAGGGACACTGCAAGTGGGGGAATTCCTGCAGGTTCAGACACGAATGTTCCGGCTGCGGGGGGGCGCATGGCTCCAGCCGGTGCTTCAAGAAAGGTAAGCTTGGAGGGGGTGGGGGGTCCGGAGGGGCAGCGCCCCCCGCTGTTACCGCTGGGGGCGTCCCCAGTGAAAGTAGACGTGATGTTGCCTTGGCTAAGGCAGTACGCCAATAGGGCGGATGCGGCCTTTTTGTGGCAGGGATTTCGAGAAGGGGACCGGGAACGATGTGTGGTAATCTCAAGTCAGTTCGGGAGCACCCGGGGGTAGCGCGGGAGAAGTTGAGCAAGGAAGTGCAGCTGGGGAGAATGGCGGGCCCATTCTTGGAGCCGCCGTTGGTCGACCTACGGATATCCCCACTCGGCGTGGTTCCCAAGAAGGAAGCGGGTAAGTTCAGGTTGATACATCATTTATCGTACCCAAAAGGGGCGTCGGTAAATGATGACATTGACGCGGCCCTCAGCTCCGTCTCTTATACGTCATTCGACAAGGCTGTCGAGTTGGTACGGAGAATGGGGCGAGGGGCGCTGATGGCGAAAGTGGATGTGGAGGCAGCCTTTCGGCTGCTCCCTATACACCCCAAATGCCATCATTTGCTCGGGTGCTATCTTGATGGGGGTTATTTCGTGGATCTGTGTTTACCAATGGGCTGTTCCATATGGTGCGCTTATTTTGAGAAATTTAGCACGTTTTTGGAATGGGTG